TGTTGCTTACAGCTTGATCTTACGTATACTAAACCTCTACGTTGATTGCTGGTTTTCAACCTTGGCATTGCCCCATTCAAGCCTGAAAATGCGCGTGTGTTTCTGATGTCAGTTCAGTTCATGCAGAGTTTCTCCCTGATAGGAACTCCCGATTGGCCATATCTGTTGTTACATCTCCATCATCAGATCATTTCCAGGAGCATCCAAACAAACCTCACCCTGTAGTATATATCAACTTGCTTACTGACTACTGAGTGATGTTGCATGATGACTTGTGCATGATGTTCTACAGTATCCAACTCATGAGAAAGAAATGTTCAGATGGGACAGAGAAAGATGAGCATAAAAGTTCACCTTATTCTTTGCAGTCTACTTCGAATAACAGCATATCTAACCTGTTCCACTGGATGATGTTGCATGATGACCTGTGCATGATGATCTCCAGCAGCATCAATCACAGGGAAGAAAAAAAATTCAGAAAGGAGCATAGAGAGAGGAGCATATGAAATTGAAAGAATCTAGAAGGCATTATAAGGGAGAAATTAAGTTAATTAGCATGATAGATAAACATGGATATGTGGACTGCAGAAGAACAGGATATCAGTGTCAGATTGTTACCCATGTCTGAACGCATGAAGGGCAAAAAATTCTACGAGATTTGGAAGCTTCTGATGAAATTTCGTCCAGATTTCGTTCTTGTTTTGATGTATCTGTATGCATATGGACCCAAATTGAATTTTGCAAGCCATGAAAGGTGCCAAAGATAAAGTCTACGATTGACTACTGTTTGACCAATAATTGTACCGTCTTTTAATTCAATCAAATGCAAATACACTCAATAATTTTTCCTTGACTGCAATGTAATTGAGTACACTCAATAAGAAAAATGACCACCTATAGATCCTAGTGTGATACTCACATTAAGGAAACTGGAAAGGGGATTAGTGGTGGGGCCAAGGTGTTGTTCTGACTAATGACCAATCAGCATTAGCTTCTACCATGATGCCACAAGGCCCCTACACTTCCACAAAATTGAAAGCTTGTTTATAGTATGCACACGTTTGGTGTTGGATGGGGTATGTCTACACACCCCTATAGTATTTATGAAAGACAAAAGGTGAAACTATTCTGCATATACCCATCTACAACCTAACGTATCAAATTCGTAAAGCAGTCTATGTGGTTTAGTAATGGCAAGGCAATCATTCGTGTAAATTTTTGTGTGTTAAGAATCTCTCTTTCTGTATTTTGTAAGGTGGAGGCTTTTCTAGTTGTCTGCTTATAGTCTTATCCACTGCCATCGGATATGAGTGAGTGGACTTCATAAAAGATAAGGTGTGAGAATACCACTATTAATTCGACGAAAATAAGTTACATTTTGGTCCTCTAGTTTTTCTATAATAGGCTCCACTATAAGGCTTCTATTTTATAGATAGTCAAATTAGGAATAGGGTTTTCTTACCATCGGTTACCATGGTAACTGGGCTTACCGCATGTGTACGGTAATAGCAATTGTTCGTTATGTCGACCAAGTTCAAAAGAACTTTTAAAAAATAAGTTTGTAGTAATGTCTGGTTTTCATCGGTTTTGCTTGGTAATTTGTAACCGCTTTTACCGGGGGGAAGGGGCAAGGAAAGCCTGATTAGGACTTCAAAAGTGCATGAACACTTGAAGGTCATCCAGCTATACATATACCGCTGATGGAACTGTACATGTCCTTCAGTCTCTTTCCATATGGGATCTTGTCAACATTAGGGCAGGGCAGGTTCTTCTGAATTCTGGGAAGAGACCAAAAGGCAAAAGCCACGGGAATCCAGACTATTTTTAGGACAGAACAAAGCACACTTGCGAAGAGAATTTGTTTTGTTTGGAGAGGGGAGATGGATGAGGATGGATTTATAATAATGCAAGGCATCATTAAATGGGAACAGAATAGATACCGTTAACACTCACTGCATTTCATAATCCTTTTTGTAAAGATCTTGCTGGTCAATTTTTAGTTGGGGTGGTGATTAGGTTGCTAAGCTTGAATCTTTGAGGTGTGTGACACGCATTTTGAGCTTCATTCAGAAGATTTTGCCCTTTTGTTAATCTTATCGAATTTCATTTCTTTGTTTTATAAAAGAGCTGACCTTTCATTGCTATTAGGTTCGGTTGTCATCTGTTATTAATTGTCCTCTGAAACCTTTTTCCCTTATTGGCTCTATGTTGATAGGAAGCTTTAGGGTGTATTCGGAAGTGCTCGTTCCCAACCGGAAACAGTGCGCACGGAAAACAGAGCGATCCATTAGCGCACGATTAATTAAGTATTAGCTAATTTTTTTAAAAAAAAGATCAATATGATTGTTTGAAGCAACTTTCGTATAGAAACTTTTTTAAAAAACGTACTGTTTAGCAGTTTGAAAAGCACGCGTGGAGGGAGAGGGAGTTTGGAACTAGGACTTCCGAACACACCCTTAGGCCTTTAGCTAAGTCCAATAGGATTTCTAGGTATTTCTTTTGCTAAAAGGCTAAAACTATCTGATATCTTAGCGGAGACCATGTATCAAGTTCATATATACGTTTAGTAGAAACTAACATACATGATACCTTATTTTCCTCTAGACTCAAAGGCATTTTCCTACATTTTTTAAACTGAAAACAGTGAGGGAGCCCCCCACGGTATATAATTTTAATTAAGGCGAGTATGTACATCAAGGTAAAAGGAAAAAAAACTAAAACTCTAGACGAATGTATTGATATGTACTAAAAAAATAATTTATTAACAGAAGAACTGGATGCCTATCCACCCTATGCTTGTAAATTCCTATGGTGAGAAGTAGATTTTCTGTGAACACAGATTTTTTTATACAGAATAACATAATCTTATCCGCCAAAATGGGGTGAGGGAATCCTCTTTTGCTTCTTTTTTATTTTTTAAAAAAGAATACCGTTCTTTTTCCTTGACCAATCATTTCTTTCTATATAGTTACATCCACCAAACAATAATTGCTACTATAAAACAGTCATGTTTATTAGAGTGTGTAGCCCGACCTACCAATTATGAGCCACCCAGATTACATCGGCCTGCTCCATCACAGGTTCAACCGGAGTTACAATGTTAGGTAAGTCTACAACCCAAAAGATTAGTTTAATAGGATGATGATTGTTCCCACCTTCTAATTCGTGCTCTCCTAATTACCAACATACAAGATGAGATAGTTGTTTGGGCTGTGTAGACTCAGGATATAAATTTATGACTTGGGTTGAGCTTGAGCCTTCTTTGCTTTTGAATGACCTGATGTGTCTGATAATAACGAGAAGAGTCAAGGTAGCGAAGGAGCATGCCCACGGCTTCAGCCCTTGATCAATCTCTCCCTCAAACAGTCAATGTCCGACAAACAAATGAAACTCTAAATCCAGAAGAAAAGTCAACAGTCAAAAGATCCTTTTGTGCTCAGATTATAAAACATAACAGCAATGAACCTTTGCAACCATAGGCATACAAAATGTCACTAATGTAATACCCAATTTGGTTTAGTATATTAGCAATTCGTAGCAGGAGAATATAGGTTGTTAGAGTTGGGTGCAAGTGGAACTGTACAACAATGATTCTACAATTATTTTAATTTACTTTGGTAAACTTTCGGACCGCATGATACAATAAATACATAAAAATTTAGCAGCATTCAACTATAATAGTAGATTAGCAATCGAGTGGTAAAAATAGAAAAATAGATAATCTCAGGACTGCATGACCGGTATCCTAGTCATGAAAGGTAGTACATCTTGGCAGATTAAGGACAAGGCAGAGTATACTGTGTTGACCAGTAATTTGTCTAGCACATAGTGTCGTTTTAGATCCTACGGAAATTCATGGAGCATATGGTTCATAGATCAAAATCACCACCAAGACTCCGAACGAAAATCTCACTTATGCCTCTAGATTATCTAATGCACTTGCTACAACCCATTGTATAAGAAATTTTTTATTTTGCGTGTTTTCTAACTAACTATTTTGCATGGTTGAATCCACGTAGATTTGCTTCCAAGTGCAATATCATAATTGAGTGGACCCTTTTTTTCAACAAATAAATAAATTGAGGCCTCTAGTTTAGTTCCAAAAAGGTCACATCGAATCTTTCGACATATGCATGGAGCATTAAATATAGATAAAAATAAAAATTAATTGTACAGTTTGTATGAAAATCGCGAGATGAATCTTTTAAGTCTAATTAGTCCATGTTTAGCTATAAGTGCTACAGTAACCCACATGTGCTAATGATGGTTTAATTAGGCTTAAAAGATTCGTCTCGCGGTTTCCAAGCGAGTTATGAAATTAGTTTTTTTATTCGTGTCCAAAAACCCCTTCCAATATTCGGTCAAATATCTAATGTGACACCCGAAAAATTTCTTTTGACGAACTAAACACACACCCTGAGTGTGACCTGACTGAGAGTACGTGTTGCTTAAAGAATGAACAGGGTAGTTTGGGTAATCACCTTTCTTAAGTCAACGGGGTCAAGGAAGCAGAGAATCCTTAACAATATTTAAGGCACAAATTCCTAACAGTTAAGTTCAACACTCCCTATGTCCACACCAAATACTAACAAAAAGAACTCTTCGTTCACGCTTGTACACAAAGTTTCTTTTTGACATCTGTACAGAGTGAAATTGACACTGTTTTATTCCAGTTCGTTAAAAAAAGTACTAAGAAAAAATCTCATGCCAACACACACAGAGGAGGGTCTCTATAAAATGTTAGGAGATGTAGATGGTCTATTATTCGGCTAATTTCGGTTAATCAACTAGTAAATACAGTCTTTCGGTGCTTCGAAAGTTATCAAGGTATCTGCAGTTTTACAATTCCCTTTTGGGCGGCTGAGATCGAGTGTTCAGTGGAGAATCTTCTCTGTTGCATCTGATCTGAGCCGTCCGTTGCAAACTTGCAACATCCAATGAGATGGCTCCAATGACAGTGTCTCCATTGTCTCCTCCAGGATGAGCTCTCATGACATAAATACTGCTCACACAAGATTTCAGTCAGCAGCTGAGCTCCATGACTTGTCTATAAGGCCTGAGCTCAGTCTCTGAGACCTCAGGTCGTCTTCTTCCTCCAATCTCTCGTACGAAAGAAGAAAGTTTTTAGGAAGCTAGGAGCAGCACACAGTCCTTCTCCCTCTCTTCTTGGTAAGTTCTTGCCACTCTCTAATATATGTGGTAGTACAGCAACAGCAAGCATGGTTGACTTCTGAATCTGTTCTCTTCTACCCTCTTCTCTGCCTGTTTGCTTCAATCACCTGCCTGTGTCATCTGGTGAATTTATTCTATTTCTTCTCAATTTAATGGTTCTTTGAGTTGGGGAGGTTTATGTTGGGACTTGGGGAGAAGAGGCATCACCATTGGAGGGATGGATGAAGCTTTGCTGTTAGCTCAAACACCCTGCAGAACAGCAGAGGTTTCTGTCTGCAATCTCCAGAGCTAAAATTTCTCGGAAATCAAGAGAGAATTCAGAGAAGAGTTTACTTTGCGCGTCTTGAGGTTCTTTGCAAGTAGTATTCAGAACAGGGTGTGAACTTTGAGAAGCTGCTACGTAACTGCAAAGAGAAGAGGACAGCTTGTCTGTCTCTGTTTTTCCTTTTGCTCAGTTTATTCCCCTAAATCATTTTGGGCTTTTTTTTTGAGCTTCTAACTTCTCCAGTAATGGTTTAGAATTTACATTTATTTCTTTAAGACAACCTTTATTTCAATAGTAACATACTTTTCATATTTAAGGACAACCTTTTAGACAGTTTAAGGTCTTTTGGACCACCCCATATTTGTACAGGCAATCGATTACAGTGTAACTATAGAAATCCGGTTAGGTTTAGTGACCGCTGCAAGACTCATACAGTCAGGTGACTGATCACATGTTTTTTATATGCAAGAAATCAAAAATGGTTTGCAACAAAAATAAAATCTTTATCTCTAGAAAGAATCCCAAACAGTCTGAATGTTCTTTTAAGGAGATTCTTGCCTTGTTTGGGTTAAAGCACTTCCTTTCAATTTTGGCAGGAATTTATGAAGATTCCTCAATATCTGTATTCTCAGTTTACTCTTTAAGCCTTGTGAGTCTCACACAATTTATTTTATTCTTCGGTGATGCAGCTATTTAGTGCAGACCTCAAATCCAAAGTGCTTCTATTTTCCATCAAGAAAGCAAACACAGTGTATTCAAGAGTGCTTCTGTTCCTGAAAATTAAACAAATTGATAATAATTTTCAAGGAAGTATGAAACTAATAGCTTTTGGGCTGTTATTACTGGGGTATATACAATATTTTGCTACACCTGATTCCGAAGGTAAGGCCTTTACACTTTGATGTATATATTTTCTACATCAGTTATTCATATGTGGCTGGCATTAGAAGAGGCAATGGAATCAATCTGAGAATTTTGACTGTGAACTGCAAGAGACTCTGGAATTATTGCATTATTGAGTTTTTGACTAACACAATATTTACTGAGAACGCTAGGGTGTGTTATGGATATGACATCTTGTCCTTGTCATCAGTCAAATGTTTGACTATCAACTGCATAACAGATTCTAGAGCACTTGTACTTACTACTAGCCTACTAGAAAGCACAACTACTACTCCAGTTATTTAGCACATCTGCATTTTTCTCCAGTGTAGCAAATATGCTTGCTCACAATTGTTCATAATTGAACAAGATTGCTCAAAATTCTTGGTTAGATAATGTACTCGCTCTAAATCCATATTGCATATGGGGCATTGAATAAGAAGAATATTACCATTTCCAATTCTTTTTCACTGAATGTGTCTCATAATTTGCAAATATGACGATTTTATTTTCCTCATCAGTCATAGCATTGTATGAAATAAGGACAATGCTCAATGACAGTCGCGGCGTACTGAATGGCTGGAATAATAATCAAGTTAGTCCCTGCTATTTTCCTTCCATCAGTTGTAATCAAGATCAAAAGGTCATTTCAATGTGAGTTATCCCTTCCATTTTTCTTAAATATCTTAAACTCTAAACTTCATTATTTTCCTCTTAACAAGGTTGAATATCTGAAACTCTTAACTCCATTATTTTCCTGCTATGCTAGTTAAATGCATGCTCTAGCCTCTAACCATTGATCATAAGGAAAAGTTTTTACAGTTGGCTTGCACATACTTCATACTATAGTGTTTCATATTTGTAGTATATAAGTTTGTTTCACAATAAAAATAACATTAAAACTTTGTAACCACATATGGTTAATTTCTTTTTGAGCCTTTTGAGGTAAACACATGGTTAATTTCACATTTCTGGAATTTGCAGAACTTTGAGCTCATCAGGATTATCTGGATTCTTGTCACCCAGCATTGGAAAGCTACTATATTTACAACAGCTGTAAGCTTAGCAATTTAATCCTAAAAATATTTAACATTTGAAGATTAATCCTCATTCCTCAATAAAAGATCTACTTTGTGGTTCGTTTTATTTTTTTGTTCCTAGATTATTGAATGATAACAACATAACCGGAGGAATTCCACAAGAGTTAGGGAACCTATCAAGCTTAACAACACTAAAACTTGGAGGAAATAGCTTAAATGGTTCAATACCTGACTCTCTTGGCCGTCTTTCAAAACTCCAAAATCTGTAAGTCAAACTCTGTGTCTTTCTAAGAATACAAGTAAGATTATGAGTCAATAGTGTAGTAGTTGATCATAATAACCGTAATAATGGGACATCTTCGACAGGGACATGAGCAAAAATCTCTTAATCGGGAATATTCCAACTTCTTTGTCTAATCTCTCATCATTGAATGATATGTAAGTCTTTCTGTGTTGATAACATTGTGACCTTGCCAAATATCACCGCTTGGATTACAGTTACATTATATGATGTATCACATCTCACTGTGATTTGCAGCAATCTAGCAGACAACAATCTGAGCGGTGAAATACCCAAACGGTTGCTTCAGGTGTCTCACTACAGGTATGGGCAAGGATATATTCTACAAACAATTTTACGCCTAGTGCTTCACAATACTGACAATTGTAATTCCAGTTATATAGGTAACCATTTGAATTGTGGCCAACACTTGATTTCTTGTGAAGGAAACAATATAAATACAGGTAATATAGAAATCAACATGGCAATCTATATTGCCCCCTTAATTTGGATCAATAAACAATTCCATTCTTTTTATCAACAGGTGGATCAAATAACTCCAAACTCAAGGTGGTTGCAAGCATTGGTGGAGCAGTAACTCTCCTTGTTATCATAGTACTATTTCTGTTATGGTGGCAAAGAATGCGCCACCGACCTGAAATATACGTTGATGTTCCAGGTTAGTTCAGCAGCATGACATTTGTGTGATGGTTACTGTAGGAAACATATTCAGCTAAAGAAACAATTTCACATGGACTGAAACAGATTAATAAAGACTCCTTTTTTTACCAAGATGATAAGCATGTGCAACAATTTCAGGTCAACATGATCACAATCTAGAGTTTGGACAGATAAAGCGGTTCTCATTGCGAGAACTCCAAATTGCAACCAACAATTTCAGCGAGCAAAATGTTCTTGGCAAGGGTGGTTTTGGTAAGGTGTACAAAGGAGTGCTTTCAGGTCCACATGGCAGAAAGGTTGCAGTTAAAAGACTGTTTGAAGTGGAAAAACCTGAAGGGGAAATAGCTTTCCTGAGAGAAGTTGAATTGATAAGCATTGCTGTGCACAAGAACATATTAAGATTGATAGGATTCTGCACGACTACAAAAGAGCGACTCTTGGTCTACCCTTACATGGAGAATCTTAGTGTTGCTTCCCGTTTGAGAGGTAACAGTAACATAAGAATATCACTTTAGCATGTTCCTAGAATATGCATTCATGATTCATCTTCATTTACAATGTCAATTGAGGTATATTAGTTAAAACAGTGCCAGGAAATAGAAGGAAATGTGGTTTCTATGTCTTGATAAAAAGGAAGTATAGGCAATTGAATCGTTGAATTATCTACTTCTTTAGGCAGGTTACTACCAAAAAAATAGGTCCTTTTATGATGATACAAACCCTAAAAATATCTAATGCAATAGTACTGTTGATGACACCTATGCATGCAGATATCAAACTAAATGAACCAGCATTAGATTGGCCAACAAGAGTGCGAATTGCCCTTGGCGCTGCCCGTGGCTTGGAATACCTTCATGAGCACTGCAACCCCAAGATTATCCACCGCGATGTCAAGGCAGCCAATGTCCTGCTTGATGGAAACTTTGAAGCAGTGGTAGGAGACTTTGGGTTGGCGAAGATGATAGACAGAGAGAGGAATACAGTTACGACCGGGGTTCGCGGGACAATGGGCCATATAGCTCCTGAGTACCTGAAGACAGGAAGGCCATCAGTGAAGACAGACATATTTGGATATGGTGTAATGTTGTTAGAAATAGTGACAGGAGAGCGTGCAGTGTTCCCTGAATTCTCGGAAGGAGACAGTGAGATCATGCTCAATGATCAAGTAAGATATAATTACATTACCTTACTATCGTTTATAGCTACCAAAGAAAGTTTAGATTGCACACCATTAATAATATCTTATTAAACTAGAGAATGGAAGCATATTAAGATCAGATAAGCAAAAGCTTCTCACCTATGTAATTGATATGAGTAGAAGTTAGGTATAACTATGAATGATGCTTGACTTATTGTATGAACAATGCAACATAAATTTTCTGAAGAATTAGAAAGTTGGTGTCTCATCTTTTCACATAGATGACCCTGATGGGATTGACTCTTTGGTACATGTGAAGGTGAAAAGGTTGGTGCAAGGAGGACGATTGACAGACATTGTGGACCACAACCTGGACACTGCATACGATTTGCAACAGCTGGAGAAGATGATCCAAATAGCACTCCTCTGCACTCATGTGGAGCCTCATCTTCGCCCTGCTATGTCAGAGGTTGTGCAGATGCTGGAAGGCAATGTTGTCCCAGCGGAGCAATGGGAGGAGTGGCAGGTGGCTGAACTTGCCCGGCGGCATCAGCATGAGATGAACCAACAGCGCAGGCTGTTCAGCTTCAGTGAGGAGTCTCTCAATATCCAGGAAGCCATTCAGCTATCCAGTGGCAGATAACTGGAAGATCATACAATTGTATCACATGAGCTTCACTTGTTTCCCAAGAAAGGGTGAAGGAGCGAGGAGTCTCTCAATATCCAGGAAGACATTCAGCTATCCGGTGGCAGATAACTGGAAGATCATACAATTGTATCACATGAGCTTCACTTGTTTCCCAAGAAAGGGTGAAAGGAGACAACAGTACTCACTATAGTTGTGGATTGTTAGGAATAGCCTAGAGTCCTCACGGTTTGCATAAGTAACTGTATCTAACCTTTATGCTGTGAACACAATGTCGTGCAGCTACATCTCGTTCAGACATTCATGTGTATACATAGACATAGACTACAGACTACTATAGATTATATTCTATAGTGTTTTTGTGTTAATGTATACTTGGTAAAATGGTAACCCTGTGAATAGATCTTGTACATGAAATTTTCTAACGTATAACATAATTCTTAAAAAAGACTCACAAAATTAAGCCAAAATAGCTTTTTTTTTTTAACCTGGTTTCCGGAACTGTCTTGGTGGCCTTCCCTTTCTTTTCTGGCATGACACGTTTTTTAAAATCCAGACAAGTATGAAAGTGTGAACTGAATAAATGACCTAATAAAATCTCAAGAAGTAAACAGTTTTGTTAAAGCTGTGAGCGTGACAGGAGGAATGAAGCTGACCATTAGCAAATATGCAACCAAAGAAATGAAGTTAACAGTTTTTCTCACAGATTTTTGCTAAAGCTGTGAGCGTGACAGGACTAATGAAGCTGACCATTAGCAAATATGCAACCAAAGAAAGAGAGGAAAAATTAATGAAACTATAAGGCACAAACCTGGAGTGGTGGAGAGTGGATTTCATACGACAATGTGCATGGAAACAAACAAGATGCAGAAAGATCCATGGAGGCCAGAAATATCCCATGAGAACCAATAAGAGAAGGATAACAAAATAAGACAGACATCTTCAGCATCGTCGAGGCAGCCCACGTTTGACAACCAATACAATCAAGCACCAATTTTGCTAGCTGGAAAGTAATTTCCTGGACTTACCAGCATCCACACCAGCTTTGGTCAGTTTTCTGGTTGAGCTTTCATCTAAAAAAATTTCTGTATTGCTTGTTAACAGACAACATAACTAATCACCCCCCATTTTTTGCAGGACATTAGATGATAGCCTGATACCTATAGTCCCAAACACCCTGATATTGTGGGTAGACAGGGTAGTTTAAAAGCCATATCCAGCCACACACAGCCAGAACCACTGAAGACAGGAAAAAGTTAGTGCTGCTCATATAAGATTTAGGTCTACAGAAAGTAGAATGAAAATAAGCAGGAACGTTGATGTGTAACATACCTGCAGCACTGCATGAATCAGATTTGTAAATTGTATTGTGGAGCCTGATTCTACATATCATTTCTAGATTATTGTAAAAATAATTTATCTTCAAAATAGTGTGACTCCTATTACAAATACCTAAACATTTTCTTTGTCGAAACAGAATGCAGGGAAATTGGATAACCTGAGGATTCCTTGTAAGTAATATACAATGTAAAAATAGAAAACCATGAACGGCAACAAGTTAAAGCTGACAGCTGTAGTCTATGGTGCATGCAAAAATTCCATGCCCTTCATGTTTACTAAAGAAAAATAAAAAGAAGAATTAAAACAGACTGGAGTTTGGCCATGTAATGATAAAACCTAGAAAGCTTGTCAACAATATAGCAATATACATGAATAGCTGGAATAAGCATAAAATCAAATTGTTAACCATCCACACAGCAGAAACTTTCAGATGGTAGGAATAATGGATAACTTTTCTATGAAACAACATCCTTGTTGCTTAAGTACAAAATTGAACTAATTGTTCAGAACCAGTATAATGGTTAATGAAATAACCTTCATTATACAATGCACAGATGGATTTTGTTAGTGACTACTATCTCCCAAGTATTCAAGAAAGACTTGTTCTTCTGTAGGCAAATGATACAATGATGTGTTAGAAGAATAAACACTAGGATCAAACTAAAACACTACTGAAGTGCTGAGCTGTTACCATTTCTCCATCAAATCAACGAATGACCTTGTTTCTTCTCAGTTCTCACAGAATTTTATGCAAAGAAGATGCCATTACTATCTTCAAGTTCTCCCCCACTCCATTTGAGAAAGTCAGGTCTATACCTTGAACTGGAGATTTTAAGACTAGTAAGTATATAAGAACAAAATTTTGACCAACTAGAACTGGGAAAGATTTCTTCAACAGGAGCACAGTAAAGAAATAAGAAAGGACACATTTTTACCAAAAACTGATTAATATGGCAGCATGTGAAAAAAGTCAGATTGAGGACCTACTGTAGAATTTCTTGTCTGTATCAGTAGAAGCAATGCACCACCCTTTCTGATCAAGCAATGGCTGTTGCTAAATCATCTTTTTTCTTTAAAGCTAGATATTTTCTTTGAGAATTTTTCAGACATTTCAGAAGCTAGGGCATATCTATTATTTTCATAACAAGAATTGATGAAGCCAGTATAAGTTGCATGGTCAACAGCATAATCCTCGTCCAAAACTTTTTTAAGAAAAAGACTGGCAGCATCCACATCTCCCAAGGCACTGAGCTTTCTAACTACTACATCTACTGTATGAACCTGCTGCCGTTTGTCCAATCTATCCAAGACTGATACAGCAATGCTTGTTTTCTCCCTCCTGCAATATTCAAAAGTTAAAGTGACACGAGTTACTTCACATGGCACCAAACGTTTATCAAGCATGCCTTCGTATAAAGCCTTTGCTTCCTCTAGCCTCGATTCTTTGCAGAGACCACTTATTAGAGCACCATAAGTTATAGAGTCCGCAAAACATCCATTTTGAACCATCCTTTCAAAGACCCTCAAAGCCAAGGTTGATCTTCCCACTTTGCAGTACCCTGCAATCATTGATGTATACGTTTGTTTGGTTGGCAGTAGTCCTATCATAAGACATTTGTCAAAAAATTTCTGACTTTCTTCCATTTGTCTCTGCTGACAATATGTAGAAATGAGGCTAGTGTATGCTTCTATATCAGGACAGCAACCATTTTCCACCATCCGATCGAACAAATCTAGAGCATATGTTATGTGACCTTGTTTGCAGTGCTCAGTTATCAGTATAGTATATGTTATCTTATCAAACTTGAGCCCCTGACTAGTGGCCATTCGGAGCACCTTGTAAGCCTCTTGAATCTTTCCTTTCTTGCAGAAGCCATCAATAACAGCATTGTATGTGTAAATATTAGGTAGGAAGCCTTCTTGCTTCATCTTATTCATTAGTTCAAATGCACGATCAAAACTGCCCCCCTTGCAATGCCCACCAATAAGCGTAGTGTATGTATTTGTGTTTGGTTTCAACCCCTGCTCAACCATCCTCACCAATAGCATCTCAGCACGAGCAAGTTTGCCCTCCCTGCAATACCCTCCAATCATTACAGTGTACGTGTGGACATTTGGCTTGTACGAGCTACTCTTGATGAGCTTCAAGAAAAGCCGGAACGCCCGCTCTGTCCACCCAATCTTGCAGAGACCATCAATCAACGTTGTGTGCGTGTACACATTAGGCTTCAACCCTCTTCCAACCATCTCCTCCAGCACATGGAAGGCTTGCTTCACGTAGCGTCTCTTGCACAGCCCATCAATCCATGCAGTGTAATTCACCACGTTCGGTGGCGTGCCCGTCTCCAACATCCTCCTGAAGAACTCAGACACATCCTTGAACCGTCCCTTCTCACAGAGCGACCGCACGACCACCGTGCACGTCGCGTTATCCAGCGAGAACCCATAACGCCACATTGCCGCCAGCAAGGCATCAACCTCCTCCACCTTTCCCTCCCGGCAGCACACCACGACCAGCGCCCGGAAGCTGCGCTCATCGGGGCACACACCGGCCCTCGTCATTCCGTCGAACACCTTGCGCGCGTACACGAAGCTCCCGGTCTCCAGCCCGACCCTGAGCACCCAGTTCGCCGTCTCGACGCAGAGCGGGAGCCCGTGGCTGCGCATCTCGAGGACCATGTCGGCGGCCTCGGGGAGCCTCCCGGCCTCGCCGAAGGCGGCCACCATCCCCCGCATGACCTCGTGCGCCATCGGGAGGCTCCCCCTCGCGACGAAGGCGGTGGCCGCGGTGACGTAGAGCCGCATGAGGCGGCGCAGGTCCGGGCGCGACGCGAGGCGGCGGAACAGCGCCAGCGCCGCCGCGGAGCCCGCGGAGTCCGCCACGGTGGGGAGGGACGCGATGGCGTCGTCGGGGGCGAGCGCGCCGGGGTCGCCGGGCGCGGCACCATCGAGGGTAGCATCCGGAGGCGGAGGCGGAGACGGGGTGGAGATAGCGGCGGTGGAGAGTGGTGGGAGGTTGGGGAGAAGGCGGCGGCGGCGGCGGAGGAGGAGGCCATGGCAACGGCGAGCAAGCATCTCTCTCTCCACGCAGAATGCTGCTTTCCCGTTATTTTCTTATTTAGATATAGATTGATTTTGTTAGTAATAAACTGTTAAACGGTAGTAGTAGTATACTTTTTACAAAACGATATAGATTTTTTATCAAATAAATCTATAACAATTAAAACTTAATTAATCCGCGAGCTTTTTATTATGATAAAACTTTATATACTCCCTCAGGTTATAAGATGTTTTGACTTTAATTAAAATCAAATTATTATAAGTTTAATTAATTTAAAAAAAATAATATTTACAATACCAGCATAGTTTCATTAAATATATAATTAAATAAATTTTTATAATATATTTGTCTTGGGTTAAAAATATTACTATTTTTTCTATAAAATTAGTTTGACTTTGACCAAACTCAAAACGTCGTGAAACAGATGGAGTATATATATCTATATATATTTAAAAGTATATAAAATAAATATATTTTTATAAATTTATAGTACTAATACTAACAATTAAAACTCAATTAACCATCAGCATTGATTTGTCGTTCTGCGTACACCACGATCTGAACCGTCCGTTTTCCTATGGACGGCTACGACGAAACGTCGATTCCAACCTCCAATACCACTCTCACCGGCGGTGGCCTTCCGGCCTCCCCGCCGCCGTGTCCGCGTCGGGCGTCGGCTACCTCACCGGCGACCGGTGACCGGCGGCCGTGTGCCCGGAGGAGGGGGAATGTGGAGGCTATCTTGCCTCTTCCAGGAGTATCATGTATCTCCAGGTAAAACCTCTTTTCTCACCCAGGCGACACACGTCCATCCCGATTTGCTGTGCGTTGCCGCCGTCGTGCGGCGACCGACCGATCGATCACTCAATGTTTGATTCGCTCGTCTCTGCTGCAGATGCATTCTGCAGATCGAAGGTTGGGGCCTAGCTTGCAGTTGCAGATGGTCTGAAGGCTACAAATATTTGTTGCCCACGAACTGTTTGATAGAATGCCGAGGAGGAAACCGACCCTTTGCTTCTGCCTTGGATGTAAGTTTCCTCATATTAACTCCTGCAACTAATTCCAGTTTACTTTTCATTCTACTTGATTTCAGTTTACACAGAAGCCTACTCAAGGCCTTAGGAGAATGTAGGGAACGAGTGTACCATAAATATATAAATACATAGTGAAGGAAGTTTATTACAAGAGATTAAGAAAAAAACACTAAAAATTACAGTTATATAGCCAGATGGGGAAGTAAAATTACAGTTATTTGGCGTGATGCGTCTTTCTTCTCTCATCTTTCAACTGCCGCGGCTTAGCTACCAGCTAGCCCGAGGATCAGGGCTCATCAAGACTTCAAGAGGCCATCATGGGCTCCCCAGGTTTTTCATCTGATCTGATGCAAAACTTCAGTTTTCTCGTTTTGCTTGTGGCTAAATGGTGGTGACAGTTCAACACATCATAGGAACATAAGGGGGTAATTTTAATCAATATGTTTAGTACAGAAACAAGCTATGAAGCTGCACACCAGCTAACTGAAAATGGAGAATGAGAAACAGAAAATTTTTAATTGAAATGAATTGGTAATGTTGGTAGTTCCACCACCACTGGATTAAAATCTCAGGGAAAAACTAAATTTTTGTGCTTAGTTAAGGTGGTTGATTTGTTCACATCTGTGAGGAATTGCCATATCAGGATTTAGTTTTAAAACAGATTGGATGTCGGAATAAACAATAAGTCATATTCCGGTGAACTAAAAAGTGCAGAACTCCTAGCACTGAAAATCAAATCAAGATGCTATACAAGATTATTGCAGTAAAGAGTTTTTGTTTAATTTTTTAAGGAATATTAGATGTATAAACATATAAAAGTTACACACAGAGTTCACTTGAACTCTACAATTATTAAAAATGAAATTCTGGTCGAAATGGTACTTTTTAGGAAGTTGTCAGGGATGGTTGAATCCTTGAGACAAGAATTCGATTTTTTTTTCCTCCGCGCTGGCAGAAACTGGCCGAAGTTTATTAAGAATGGGAGAAAACAGAATTTACAGGACACATGGCTTACAGACCAAAGCGCCGGAGCACGCCCTAACAATCAGAGAACGAAACAAGCCACATCACAGATTTTAACACCGCAACAACAACAATGCCAAAAATTCTCACATCAGAACACGCAGTGCCCCAATGCACCCCAGGCCCAGCGTAAAAAGAGCAGCCACCTTCCACATCCGCCACTCATCTATGATGACCACACATAGCGCAAACACCATAGTGGCCTTCCCCTCAAAAACACGGGCGTTCTGTTCCTTCCAGATAAGCCATGTCACTAGGATCACACCTGCATTGAAGGCTCTCTGCTCCTGCTTGCAGATCGTCTTGCGGACTGCGAGCCACCAGGGAAGCAAATGCAGTGTAGGCTGTGGGCAAATGAATCCCAGGCGGCTGTGCATTCCAGACATGCACCGTGCATGCGCAACAGTGAAAGATGTGCAAGCAGGTTTCCAGATCACAGCAACCAAGGTGACAGAAGCTCACCAAATGCCACCTGCGACACTGCAAGTTGTTGGCAGTAAGACAAGCTCCTCGCATGGCAAGGAACATGAAGAATTTGCAACGTGCCGACACCCTGGATTTGCACCCAATTCTGCCCAAGGCACACTTTGTTCACCGAGCACAGAGCAGCGAATACACCGATTTGACAGAGAAATCGCCATTAGCCTATGCCAACCAGAGCATAGAATCCCTGGCACAGGGATACTCTGAGACCACATCCCAAATCTTGAAATAATCGGCAGTACCTTGCAAGGATAACCCCCCTCTGATATTGGCCAGTGGCCACCCAAGCATAATCTTGCAGAGCTGCTGCCACCGAGCAATTCTTGTACTTGACATAGGAGGAAAGGATAGGTGCTTGATTCTCAATCATAATTCATTCACCCAAGAATTCAAGATTAGTTGTTACAATACTAATTAATTCTTGAAGTAGATAGAAATAAGTGAATTAGTCTACTTCCTTAGTGACAAAAGACAAAGTTTTTTTTTATTATACTAGGCAATTCGTGAGAGAGATAAAAAATAGCACATTGAGTTAGAAAGATAATTATTAGAACTAGTTACACCTCTGGACTGATTAGTTTTCTAAGGAAAGCTGAAGATAAGTCTTTATACTTGCAGAGACTTTAGGGTACAACAGATGAAACGAAATACAGATGCCACAGATCATAAAAAAAAAGTACAATAATTTGTAAATAGATCAGAAAGTCATAAAAGAAAAAGGCACAACTGATGGAGTAGGTACAACATATCGATAATACAATGGCACATTGCAATTGCGGATTATGTCTAGATCATCCATTATTCTTTTGCTAGTTCGTTGTACTCATCTATCACCACACTGGGGTTAGGGGAATTCTTAGCCTTTTGAATCATGCTTGCCAGTTGTTTGATATGAGATGTCTTTGCCCTAGTATCTTCAGGTGCCTGGCTGCTGACTGTTAAAAATACCTGTTGCAGCTTTGAGAGGTTTTCCAGACCATACATATAGTCCACCATTCTGAACCTCAGCTCAAGCCTCTGAAGCTCCGGCATTGCTCCTTCTAGAAAGCTCAGAGAAGGTAGCACAGGTGCCGCAAAATGCAGTAGCTTCAGCTTTTCAAATCCCTCATCCAGCACAAAGATCTTACCTCCTGACTTCATTGTATTCCTATGTATTATTTTGAGAGCATTTGAATCATTGTCTGCTGCATGGAGTGAAAAAGTGAGAGAGAATAACTCAGGCAGGCTACTCAGAACCACCAAAGTATCTGTCTTAAGTGAAGTCAATGACAGAGTAAGCTTCTCAAGGTTGTGCAGGCGGTCAATCCATCCAGGCGCTTTAGATAACATGCCAGAAAGCTCGAGGGTGTACAGGTGTTCTGGTGCTGCTTGCGAAGAACTCAGTGAGCTTTCAAGGAAACCTGTGAAACTGTCATCAATTGCAAGAAACTTGAGGGAACAACTGCTCAAATGCTCAATAGCAGAGAGCAGTAACTCATCGTCTTTCGCTTGGAACTTTACAAGCTTGTAAATGGCAAGTTTCTTAAGGTTGGTGAGCTTCTCCAAGGCTTCAAGAGGACGCAGCTGTTTTGGAAGGTCCACTTTGCTAGCTTCTTTATGTGGACCATGCAAGGCAGTGTTGCCTCTCTCCTCGGCTCTGGTGGTTGTAGAGTGTCTGATGGGCATATCTCGTGGCTGCTCCCGGTCTTCTTCTAAAGTTGAGCTTCCACTGATCTCAATCCCGGAAAGTGTTTGTAGAGCTACGACCTTTGTAATTTCCTCAGTTAATTTCAATGCTGTCCGCTTGCTTTTGTTGCCAGCAAGTAGATGGGTCATTCGCTGAAGCTTTGCAAATGATGTAGGCAACTTTCTGACATTTGTCTCCCTAATGTCCAGTACCTCCAAGTACTCCAGCCTCCCTATATTCTTCGGGATCTTGTCAATATCTGTCCGCCGCAAGCCCAGGTACTTCAACTGATACATGTTGCATATTTTCTTGAGCTGATGTGGGTGGGACAAGTCCTTGCAGCCATCAAGGTCCAATACCTGCAGTATCTGGAACTTGAGCATAGTAGAATGAAGAGCACTGAAACTCTCCAATACTGTCAAGGATCGGACATGGGACAATTTCATCCTCTCTACCATGTCTGTTTCTTGCTTATCACTTTTATGGACAGACAATCGCCGTACCTTGTAGCTTGGAAGTGGTGTCTGCCAGTGGCCGCCAATAACGGCGATGAAATTCTCATCACTAGACTTGGAGACAATGTACTGGAGGACCATGTCATGAATTTGGCAGCTCTTCACCCTGCCGTTGCTGCTGTTTTTGATAGGCTTTATCAAGTTCCTGCCAATGAGTTCATTGAGGCTGTCTTCTGCAACTTCCTCAGCAGTCTTCCCATGCTCTTCAGTAATGAATCCTTCAGCAATCCATCTTCTTATCAAATGCTTCCTGCTAATACTGCGGCCCTTGGGAAATGTGCTCAAGTACAGCAAGCATGTCTTAAGATCAGGTGGCAGATTTTTGTAACAGTGGTTAATTATTTGCGTTACTCCTTCGGTGGTGAGATTGCTTCCCAACTCTGCACTTAAAGCCTCATCTACATCAACCAAATGCTGATCCAATGTCAGGTCAATCTTTGATTTCATTTTACTAGCAATCAGCCCTGCTACTACTACAATTGCCAAAGGCAGACCCCCACACGTTTTCATGATAATGCGAGCATTAATAGGTCTAATGGGACACAGATCATTAGCAGATATTATCTGAAGAAACAAATTGTAGGAGCTCTCTGGATCGAGCTGTTTGAGCTTGTGCACATGACCTTGTTGACGGCGGCAGGCTTCAGCTACAGAGTTAAACCTTGTAGTCACCACTACACAACTACCCTTATCACTCTTGGGGAATGAATCCCTAATGTTTTCCCATGCTGATACAGACCATATGTCATCTACCAAGATATGGTACCTGCTTCAAGCATTGTTTGGAAGTAATTAGCTAGTTATAAAATAACGTTTTATAGTGCTCATTCCAGGCACAAATGAATAATCAAAATTTTCCAACTAGGAATATCAATATTTTCCTTTCTTCTTGGCTTCTCCCTCCTCGGCGCGACGTGGACGGGGTGAACGACGAAGCCCCCATCGCGGTCGGAGGTGGTGACGCTGTGGCGGTGTGGGGAGGCGGCGGATCCAGTGCCTTGAAGGCCGGATCCGGCCATCCCGCGCCTGGATCTAGTGTGGTGGCGGCGCGAGGCGGCTAGGGACGGCGGTGGCGGCTTGGCGAGGTGCGGGCGAGGTGCACGGCGGTGGCGGCTCGGCAGCGTGCGGGTGAGGTGCTCGGAGGTGGGGCGTGGCAGCGTGCGGAGGTGCGTGGAGGCAGTGCTGGCGCAGCCTGCCCGGTGTGGTGCTGGTGCAGCAACCCGGGTGTGGCGGCTCGACAGTTGGGAGCGGCGGTGGCGGCTCGGCGGCGTGGGTCGCGGCAGCCGTGTCTCGCTGGTGCCGGCGCGAGCAGCCCCATGGCTCGGCCAGGCCTCGATGCCCGGGCAGCCGGGAAGCCGTTGCGGTGCCCTTAGCAGCCAGGTGGGGCGCAGAGGCCGGACAAAGGGGGCGCCGAAGGGTGGCGCCGGTGCCGGAGCGGCAGCATATCCGGCGTCGGCACATGCCTAGATGGTAGTGCAAAGGGAGCTGGCGGCGGTGGGTCGTCTTCCTCGTTGCCGGTCAGCACCCTCGCCCTTCCTGGATCTCCTCCCCTTCTTTGCGGGGAGTTCCTAGGTTGGATTGAGGCGGCAGCTTGTCAACGGGGGAAGCTCAGACTACCGAAGCAGTGCCACCCAATCCCGGGTTCTCCTTCGACCAAAACTGACGAGGAGGCCGGCGGTGGTGGAAGCTACGTGCTACCTTTTTTGTCTATGTGGTGGTTCTGTGTGGTGGATGGCGATCTGCTGTCAAGGTTATAGGGTCCTAGGCGAAAGGCTAGTCCGGTGTTCACCAGACCGGCAGCGGCTACGCCTTCGGGCGTCATAACCTCCTTGGGGCACTGTCGAGGGTTACCCTCTCCCCTTCTTGATGAGCTTTTCTGGGAGAAAACCACATCTTTTTAGATGGGCAGTGGTGACATTCTAGATGTTGTGACCATCTTGGTGGCATCGTTTTCGGAGTCTCGTCTCTGTGGTGTTGCCGTATGCCTAGCGGCGTTCACTCTCAGTGGTTTGTGCTTAGGTGGTAGTGCGTTGGTGTGTGGTCATGCACCTTGGTGCATTGTGGTGTTTTTTCTTGTAACTTTTATTTCTTCTTAATACATTCGGATGGCCTCCTTCGGTCTTCTCAGCGAAAAAAAAATATCTTTATATACAATAATTTGGAGGTTTTCCGAGTATGCAAACGCACGGAGTGATGACTAGTAAGACAGTACAATAAAAATGTGGTGAAGAGATAGATATTAGCAATCCCAAAATCATACCTCTTGCCTGTTAATTGTTCAAGCAGCTTCTTCTTCAGCATTTCATCACCCCAACCCTCAATTCCATGGAGGGTATCCTCAGAAGCGTCTGCCTGCTTCTCATGGAACTGCTTGACAAGGCTCCTCAGAACCGTCGGGAGATGGAACTTCTGCGACGCGAGCACGAATGCTCGGCAATCGAATTCGTCCCCAAGCTTGCGGTACAACGCCATGGCGAGCGTGGTCTTGCCAAGGCCACCGAACCCGACAATGGCGAGGTACCTCTGCTGGGTGCCATCCTTCCCTTTGGAAAACCACTCCTGGAGCTCATCAATGGCAGCATCCATTCCTACAGGCTCCATGGTGCCAATCAGCCGGGGAAGAGGAGCTAGACGGTCTCTAGGAGCGTTGGCTCCGACGCCGAGGCCGCTGCCGCTGCCGCCACCACCACCATTGCCCTGGAGGTTCTCCACCCCGTACCTGGTGCGGCGCTCGCTGACATGCTGCGCCCGGAGCTTGAGGTTGCCGATCTCGGCTGCGATGCGGCGGCGCTTGTAGAGGGTGGTGAGAAGGTACCACGCCCTTTGGAAGGAGATGGCCGCGCCGCTCCCCCGCGGCTCGCGGCCGAGGCGGTGGCCGACATCGTCGACGCAGTCCTTGATGTCGTAGGCCACCTCCCGCACCTGCTTCATCCAGTCCTGACGCTGCTCGTCGTGGTCGACGTCCCGTCGCTTGAGCTTGCTGAGGAAGGCCTGCATGCTGGCGAGCTCGTCGTTGATGTACTGGATGTCGTCGCGGACGCCGGCGATCAGGGTGTACTCCTGCGCGAGGAGGCTGCCCAGCTTCCCTGTCAGCGACTTCACGGCTTCGCTCGACGCGCCGACGACGAGGTCCATCGTCGATCTGGCTCGCTTAATCACCGGCCAAATCAATCGATCAATCTCATGTGGATTTTTTTCTTTTCACAAGGGAATGAATGCCATTCTTGGTCACGGCAGTGTTTGCTCTTCACTCCTTTCCATGTCGCAGGTGCACACAACATGCATGACTAGTTACGCAATGTGTCGCTTGAGATAGAAGAAACGAATATGTGTATGCATGGCTTGTAGTGAGGAGTTGATAAATGGCAATGCCAATGTACCTTGATGTTGCCAAAGGGAGAGGTTTTGTGTCCAATCGCGCGCCTTTTAACTTGCCGGAGTGGTACTTTCCTGGAAAAGAACTTGTGTGAGAGGATCTTCTTTTTAATTTGATAATAGCACTGGAGGATCTTCTTTTGGAACATAGCACCGGAGGAATGAACGAAAGTGGAAGCAAAGTCATCATCCTTAGTAACGTGACATGCACATGGCAAGAATAATGTGTAAAGTGCTATAAGAAGAAGAAAACTACTGGAGTAATTGAGAAGAGATGCATGCAGAGTTCAGTGTTAATTAATTGCTACTACTTCGCTTTGCAAGCTGGAAATGACAGACAACAAGGGAGAGCAGAGAAGAGGCAAAGCAAGTAAAAGTAGCAGAACTCTCAGGCAAGCTAGAGATAGATCTGCCTAGCTCGCATTCGGCATGCATCTGCATTCTGCAATACAGTTGTTTACATGATGCAGTAATTTTGTTCTGCCGCACTAGCTAGCTATCTCTTGAGTACTTACCGTACAGTGTTGCAGGCGTGCGGCCGGGGATCATGTCGGAGGGAGCGATGGGAAGAACTTCCATCATGGAGAAGAAGGAGGCGGCGTTGAAGGAGTTGGAGCCCCTCCTTGAGAGTGTCTCTAAGCTGCTGAAGAGTGGACGCTTCACCGACGCCCACGAAAGGCACGGTTTGGCGTTCCTGGAGATGGAACTGGGCGCCATTGTCGCATACCTGAGGATGCCGATGTCGCCTTCCATTGGGGATCATGATGATGGTGCCCATTATGACCTGATGACCTGGATGAGTGTTCTGATCGGAGTGCGGAATACGGTCACGGCTATCGTGAAATTTCTATCTAATCAGCCTTGCGTGCCGCTGCGAAAAGCCACGCGGCGCTTCCGCCGCCGAAGGTCATTCGGCTATGACATTCCGCGGAAGGTATACCCTCTCTACCTTGTGTTCAATGGTCTACGCTCTGAGCTCATGCCATCACCGCCTCAAGCAGCCCAAGTCGAGGCCTGTACCGTCCATGATCATCTTGTTGCCATCGACGGCACGGCAAACGAGCTGCTCGGATGGCTCATGGCCGCCGACGAGAGCCTCCGGGTCATGGCCATTGCTGGACCTGCCGGCATTGGCAAGACCACTCTTGCCATGGAGCTCCACCGTCGACTCCGGTGCCAAACTCATTTCCAGTGCCACATTGTGGCTAACTTCTCCCGGAGGCCTCACGGGAGCAAGCTTGTTCCTCAAACCATCCTGAAGCAGATCATAGAGCAACTGGAGGCACCATCATCACCAAACAGCTCAGAAATCACGATGTTGGGGGACGACCTGGAGCTGTTGGCTCGCAACATATCAGAACGCCTCAAGGATAAGAGGTAAACAACATTTACTGCTTGCTTAATTCAGCTGCTATAATTATATAGCACTACTTATTTACGACTTCTCTTACAGTACAGCATCAGAGCTCGAATTCTGTTAATATTTTCTCTTCGTATTGTCCCTCCAGATACTTCGCTTTGATCGATAATATATTCAACGAATCAGATTTGGAATTGATCAAGGGTGCATTTCCTAATAATAACTGTGGTAGCAGAATATTGTTTACGGCTGGCGATGAGCGGATAGCAGGGTGGTGTTTGTCAAATTATAATGGGATTGTGCATAAGATGAAGCCTCTGAGTCACTCAGATTCAGAGAAGCTGCTCCACATAAAAGCTTTTGGTTCCATGGACGATTGCCCTCCAGAAAATCTGAAGCTATTATGTGATGAAATATTGATGAAATGTAGAGGAATACCATCGTTCATAACTGGTATGGCTGATTGGTTGAAACAACATCAACAGCAACACGGCAGCTCAGCAATTCCTAGGGTGGAAGAAGTACGCCTGCTGCTGAAACAGTTTGAACACTGGCTATCATTTGATTACAGTGATGAGTTGAGACAATCGTTACTCTACCTAAGCATGTTGCCACAGGGATATGTGTTTGAGAAGGATCGTCTTGTCATGAAATGGCTAGACGAAGGGCTGTTGTCTGAGTTGCATTTCTCTGAGATGGTTGACAGGAATATAATCACCCCAGCAGCAAGGAACTGTGGACACAATCTTGATGAAGATGACTTGTGCCTGTGGCAGGTCAATCCTTTCATACTGAGGTTTCTTGCTTACAGAGCAGCAGAGAAGGGTTATGTCATTACCAGCGCAACTCTCAACTCAGCACCAAGAGGTGGTGGCAAGAACACTCGGATAGCACGTCGTCTAGCTCTCCACCATCCCGATCCACAGCTCCCAGAAATGCTGCAAGAAATGGATTTGTCTCATACTCGTTCACTACTCATATCTGGTGCAGTCAACAGAACAACAGTCCCTCTAGACAAGTTTGGATATCTGGTGTCGTTGGATCTTCAAGGCTGGGAGAATTTGAAGGATGAGGACCTACTGCAGATATGCAAAATGCTTGTGCTGAGTTATCTGAGCGTCAGTAACACAAAGGTCAGCAAGCTCCCACCACAAATCAAAGAGCTGCGCACCCTGAATGCATTGGACATCAGCCACACCCACATAAGTGAGATCCCATCAGAAGTGTGCGAGCCAGGATCTTTGCGGATGCTGGACCTAAGAGGCACACAAATAAAGCACATGCCAGAGCAAATTGTGCGGCTAAAAATGTTGAAACATTTTCTCATTGATTTAAGTGAATTCTCCGAAAGGTCAGTAAAGTATCTCGGTGATCTACACGACTTGAAGATCCTCGCAATAACATGGGCCTTTCACCAGTGCAATGACAAAGCCTACCAACAAGCCCTATTGTCATCCTTAGGAAAATGGAGGCAACTTAAGTCCTTAACCATTCATTGTGGGCTCGGTTGTTCCATGGAGTTCCTGCGTTCTCTAAGTGATCCACCTAAATTTCTTGATGAATTTAAAGTAACAGCCGGAAAATTCGCCAATGTTCCCCAATGGATTGAAGGGCTCGAGCATCTTACTTTCTTGCAGATCACGGTCTGTAAACAAGTGGCAGGTGATGTGAAGATCCTCGCGGGCTTGGTCAAATTACAGCGCCTGATACTAGGCTTGGAGTTCATTCCTGAAGAAGCTATAGTGATTGAGAGCAAAGGGTTCAAAGAACTAGAGAAATTCTCCCTTGATTGCCCTGTCCCACGGCTGACCTTCGAAGAAGAGGCTATGCCGAAGCTCACATATCTGCGACTGAATTTGCACACATCCCCTATGAGCGAGATGAGTGTTCCTTCAGGTATCGGAAACCTTAAAATGCTTTCAGAGGTAGCTCTTTGCTACAACGTACGGTACATGAACAGCCCCAATATTAAGAGGAAAGTAGAGGCAGTGAGCAAGGAGGTCGCCAAGCATCGCAACCCTATTGACCTTTTCATCAGAGGCATGCAAATAGAAGTTAATCAAGCTGGTGAGGAGGAGGCAGAGGGTGCAACAAGATTCAACCAAGTCAATTCGCCGGAGGATGTTGTTCAGGCAGCAGATGAAGCGGCACCGAGGAGAGAAACAGAGTTTCAGAGCGAGATAGAAGATGAAGGTGAAACAGAGTGCCATGCCTAGCTCCTATTGAAAAGGTAATCACTGTTCACGCTAACCTGTCTAGCATTGCTACCTGCAAACTAACTCCAAATTTAGTTGATGAACTTCTTCTTAATTACTTGTTGCCACAGGGAATGACGTCCTCCTCTCCTGACTCCTGAGGTGAGAGAGATGTCAAAAGACAATAGGACAGCCTGCGTTGCTTCAGCTCGTTCAGGAGCAGACAGCAGGAACAAGCTTCTGTACTGTTGTTGGCAAATGGCAATGCATCTCACAGAGCGGTGAGATAATAACTCTTACATCTCATGGTCGCTTCTGTATTGTTGTTGGTCGCTGTGTATATATGTAATTACATATGATCAGGAGCAAACTGTGTATATGTAATTTTTATTTGTGTGTCGCTGTGTTCGTTCAAAGTTGATTCTGCGAGTAATACTATTGTTTCGGAGCTGTATGCTGCAGATTGCGTGTGTAATAAGTCAATAATCTGTAACAGATTCCTGTGTTATTGTGATTTGCTATACATTGGACGTCCGGGACAATAATAGCAGCCTGCAGACAAGAACAGCCAAGAAACACAACTTGCCACTCGCGTTCGCTTCTGTATTACTGTTAGCCACTTGCATCTATAAACTTTAAATTGTGTCATGTAACTATAGTTATAAATTATGTCATTGTGATATATATTTAATGAAAAGGCACATATGCTGTTTTCCCTTAAAAAAAAGATATATATCGTAAATGTTCAGTCATGCGTGTCGCTGTTGTGCCATTTTTTTTATCTTCAATATCATGTTAACTGTTGTAAACTATGATTTGATTTACATTCCCTAGAGTGTGTTACACTGTCATTGAGTCGTAATTTTCTACATGAAAGTCCAAACCAAACCTGAAGTTCCAAAATCTACCTACACAGTTCAAACTTGTGGAATGCATTGCAGTATAAAGTCAACTCAAAACTGAGAGTAAAATCGAAGTAGAACAACACTGACCAGAAGGTCCAGAACAGAAGGTAGTTCGACTGCTAGGAAGCTGTGCGTCATTCCGTCAAACACCTTGTGCGCGTAGTCAAATCTCCACGTCTCCAGCCCGATCCGGACACCCCTGTTCGCCCACTCGACGCATTGCAAAGCGGGGCGACCATGTATGACTCGCGTGAGAGAGCGCCAACCAATCTGTGCCGCCGTCGGATCTTCTAGGCTTTCTTTCTTCCCCTTCTCCGGTCACCGGACTGGAGGAGGTGGGGTCGTGAAAAATAAGGGGAGAGCGGCGGCGGTGGAGGCCATGGCAACGGCGAGAGCGAGCATCTCTCACCACACGGATTACATGACGGCCATGGCCATTAGAGGCCCACAAATGTGAAGGCCCACAGAAATTACAGCCCACATAGACAACCAAAACAAAAGCCCATGAAGGAGGCCCGTTTAAGGGTGCTGCCATCATGCCAGGAGACACTTGAAGGCCCAATATCGCAAGATCAATCTGGGCCGTCAGATCTGCTCCGCCTCTCCTTCCTCCTCCGCTCCGGCCACCGGAGGGACACGGCGCACGTCCTCCCCGCCGGCGCCCCCCTTCTCCACCTCCTGCCCACGCGCGGGCGCGGCATCCCTGTGCCGTCCACGCCGGCGTCGCCGCTACATCTCCGCGCATGCACCTCCTCCTCCTCCGAGGTCGGATCCCCTTTTCACGTCTTCCTTCGTCGGCCTCCACCCAACCATCGGCAGGTCGAGCACCATGGCTCATCAGGAGGACCACGGCTTACTAGGTTTTTCATCTCGATGCAGACACATGATTGATTCAGTTCTCTTATTTTGCTTGTCTACTCTAAGTGGTGGCTAGGAACACAAGGGGGTAATTTATGGTCTGATACATGCTGGATGTAGAGGTCATTATCGAAAGAATAATAAGGGAGTAATTTAATCGACTAGGTTGATACAGAGCAAGCTAGGAAACTACACACCACATGAACTGAAATTGCAAAATGAGCAACATAAAAAAAATAACTGAAATGAATTGGTGATGTTGGCAGTTCCACAAGACCACAACCACCTGATTAAAATTGCAGAGAAAAACTAAAATTGATATTTAGTTAAGACGGTTGATTTAGTCACGTCTGTGAGGATGTAAAACAGATTGTGTGTAGGAATAGATAAACTAAAAAATGTTACACTCCAATGAAATAAAAAACTGCAGAACTCCTAGCGTTGAAAATAAAATCAAGACACTATACAAGTTGATTCCAGTAAGGTAGAGTATTTGTAAATACATTGTTTTCTTACGGAATATTTGGATGTAGAAACAAATGCATGTTACACGCATTGTTGACTAGAATAAACACAAGTACATGGTTAACTAGAATTCATTTTCTTGACAGGAACTAATTAGAATTCTGGAATTACTAGAAATTAAATTTGGTTTAAAAAAATTTTGGCAGTAACTTGGATTAGTGAATCCTTCTACAGGCAATAATTAATTGTCAGGGATCAGTGAACCCCATTAGAGACTGAAAACAGATATTTGTTTTAAGTTGAAATTTGCGAGGCAAATAAATAGCATCTTTAAGTAGGCCAATGGTATTAGAATTGGTGAAACACCTTTATATTGATTAGTTTTCTTAGGAAAACAGAAGATATATTTTTTTTCACTAGCAGAGTTTTGGGAGTACAGCAGACAAAACAAAGATGCCACAGCTCAACAAAAAAACAGTACAAAAAATTGTAAATAGATCTGAAAATCATAAAACAAAAACAGACTGTAGATGGAGTAGGTACAACACATCGATAACACACTGGTTCCCTCCAACTGTGGAGATCATGACTAGGTAATCTATTGTTCTTTTGATAATTCGTTGTACTCATCTATCACCACACTAATGTTGGAGGAATCAGCCTTTCGAATCTTGCTTGCCAGTCCTTTGATCTGAGAGACCTTCTCTTTCGCATCTTCAGGTGCCTGGCTGCTAAAGGTCAGAAATACCTGTTGGAGACTTGAAAGGTTTTCCAGGCCGTATACAAACTCAATGATTCTGAACCTCAGCTCAAGCCTCTGAAGCTCTGGCATTGCCCCTTCTAGGAAGCTCAGAGGTGGTAGCACTGGTGCCGTAAAACGGAGCAACCTCAACTTTGTAAACCCCCCATCCGGCACAAAGATTTTACCACCTGACTCCAATGTATTCTTCTGCACAGTTTTGAGGATATTTGAAATACCATTTGCTGCATCAAGTGAAAAAATGAGAGAGAAAAGCTCAGGAAGCCTACTAAGAGTCACCAAAGTATCTGTCGTAAGTGAAGTCATGGACAGAGTAAGCTTCTCAAGGTTGTGCAAGCGGTCAATCCATTCTGGCACTTTAAACAAGCTGCCAGAAAGCTCAAGGGTGTAAAGGTGTTCTGGTTGTGCTTGTGAAGAACTCAGTGATCTGTCAAGAAAGCCTGTGAAACTGTCATCAATTGCAAGAAACTTGAGAGAACAACTGCTCAAATGCTCAATAGCAGAGAGCAACAATTCATCATCTTTCGCTTGGAAATTAACAAGCCTGTAAATGGCAAGTTTCTTAAGGTTGGTGAGCTTCTCCAAGGCTGCTAGCGGACGCAATTGTTTTGGCATATCCACCTTGCTGCCTTCCTTACGGGTACCTTGCAAGCCCGCGATATCTCCATCCTTGGCATCGGTGGTTGTAGCATTTCTGATGACTTCAAGAACTGGTGCCTGCTCCCCAGCTGCTGTCCTGGTTGACCTTCCAGAGATCTCAATCCCAGACAGTGTCTGTATAGTTTTCATCTTTGTGATTCCTTCAGTTAATCTCAATGCTCTCCGCTTGGTTTTATTGCCAGCCAATAGATGGACCATTCGTTGAAGCCTCTCCACTGATGCAGGCAAGTTTGTGACATCCGTGTCCCTTATGTCAAGTACCTCCAAATACTCCAGCCTGCCTATTTTCTTCGGTATCTTGTATATGTCCGTCCCACGCAAGCTTAGGTACTTCATCTGATGCATATTACATATTTTCTTGAGCTGGTTTGACGACAAGTCCTTGCATCCTTCAAGATCCAACACCTGCAGTATCTGGAATTTGAGCATAGTAGAATGAAGAGCTTTGAAACTCTCCAACACAGTCAAAGATCGGACATGCGACAACTTCATCCTCTCTACTAGATCAGTTTCTTGCCTATCACTTTTATGGACAGACAACCGCCGCACCTTGTAGCTTGGAAACGGTGTCTGCCAGTGGCTACCAATTACAGTGATGAAATTCTCATCACCAGATTTGGAGACAATGTACTCAAGGACCATGTCATGAATTTGACAGCTCTTCACCTTCCCATTGCTGCTGTTGTTGATAGGCCGAATCAAGTTCCTGCCAATGAGCTCATTGAAGTTGTCTTCTGCAACTTCCTCTGCCGTCTGCCCATGTTTCTCAGTAACGAACCCTTCAGCAACCCATCTTCTTATCAATCGTTTCCTGCTAATATTGCGGCCCTTTGGAAATGTACTCAAGTAGAGCAAACATGTCTTAAGGTCAGGTGGCAGATTTTTGTAGCAGTGGTTAATTATCTGCACTACTTCTGTGGTGAGATTGTTTCCCAACTCTGCCCTTAAAGCCTTCTCCACCTCAATCAATTTCTGATCCAATGGCTTTCCAATCTTTGATTTCAGTTCACTAGCAATGAGCCCTGACACTACTATTATGGCCAAAGGCAGACCACCACACATCTTCACGACAATCTCATCATTAATGGTTGGAGTGGGACACGGATCATTAGCATATATTATTTGAAGAAACAATTTGCTGGAGTTCACTGGATCGAGCTGTTTGAGCTTGTGCACATGACCATTTTGACGGCGGCAGGCTTCAGCTACAGAGTTAAACCTGGTAGTCACAATTACGCAACTACCCTTATTATTCTTAGGTAATGAATCCCTAATACTTTCCCATGCTGATACAGACCATATGTCATCAATCAAGATATGGTACCTGTTCAGGAATTGTTTAGAAGTAAGTAGTTGTAAATAGAGTGTGCTTTGATGGTACTTGTAGTTGTAAATAGAGTGTGATTTTACAGTACTTGAGAAAGTACTGTAAAAGTTGCTCTTTAAATAACATTTTATACTACCTAGCTTCTTCGTTTAATATTTGAACTTAAAAGAATGAAGAAGTAGTACTCCTCCCAGGCACAAAACATGTTGTTAAACCTTTTCAACTTTGGTATCAATATTTGTTTTTCTATTCTGCATAAAGTTATTGGATTTTATAAATATATACAATAAAAATGCTGTTGCATTTTGTAGACTATTTGTATCCAAAACGACTGTTACCTGTGAACGGAGAAAGTACCCCTTATCCAAATCAGTAATAACTACTTCCTCCGTTTCATATTATAACTCTTTCTAGCATTGCCCATATTCATATACAGTATATGTTAATGAATCTAGATATATATGTGTGCCTAGATTCATTAATATCTATATAAATGTGGGCAATGCTAGAAAGTCTTATAACCTGAAACGGAGGTAGTATCATAATTCAAATTCGGTGTTACTATTTAATTACTAAAAACTTGTGTGAGACTGATCCAAAGATTAGCTCAAGTGCTAAACCAGAAATGTCAAGAAAAACTATGAAGGAATGAAAATAAATACTCCGTAATATATAGTAGCCATTCCTCTACCTCTTGCCTTGCAGTTGATCAGCGAGCTTCTTCTTGAGGGCTTCAACTCCCCATTCCTCAATTCCGTGAAGAGCATCCTCAGAAGCGCTGACCTGCTTCTGATGGAACTGGCTGACAAGGCTTCTCAAAACTGTTGGGAGATGAAACTTCTGCGACGCGAGCATGAACGCTCTGGAATCAAACTCATCTCCAAACTTGCGGTAAAATGACATTGCGAGTGTGGTTTTGCCAAGCCCACCGGATCCGACGATAGCAAGGTAACTGATTTGGCTGTTCTGCTTTGAGACCATGAACCATCTTTGAAGGTCGTTCATGGCGTCGTCCATGCCTACAGGTTCAGTGGTGCCAATCAGCCGGGGGAGAGGAGCTGGATGGTCTCCGGGAGCGCCGGAGTTGTTGTTGCCGCCACCATTTCTGTTTGCTGGGAGGTTCTCCACCCCGTACCTGGTGCGCCGCTCGCTGACATGCTGCGCCCTGACCTTGAGGTTGCCGATGTCGGTGGCGATGCAGCAGCGCTGGTACAGCGTGGTGAGCAGGTACCACGTCCTCTTGAGGGAGACAACTGTGCCGGTCCCGCGGGGCTCGCCGCCGAGGCGGTGGCGGACGTCGTCGACGCAGTCCTCGATGTCGTAGGCGACCTCGCGCACCTGCTTCATCCAGTCCTGACGCTGCTCGTCGTGGGCGACGTCCCGCTTGAGCCTGCTGAGGAAGGCCTGCATGCTGGCGAGCTCGTCGTTGATGTACTGGATGTCGTCGCGGACGCCGGAGATGAGGGTGTACTCCTGCGCCAGGAGGGTGCCCAGCTTGTTGACGAGCGACTTCACGGCGCCGCTCGACGCGCCGACGACCAGATCCATAATCAGCTTTCGTTTCACGGTTTCAGTGACTCCCCCACGCCACAATTCTCTCTCTAGTCGTAACCTCCTCGTAGGGCATGACTTCGGCGAGAAAACAATCGCCAGTGGCTGTGACTGAGGGAATAGAAACCTGAGTAAGGAAGAAACGATGGAGATTTTTTTTTTATTCGAACGGTGAAGAATTGCAAGTGGAACCCCAGTGGCCACTGGCCAGGACAACCCCCAGGGGTGATCGGAAAAGCTATTTAGAGCGGATGTCTGCGCGTCCCTCTCCCGCGCGGAACCGGATCCTCTGACGTGAACTACTCCCTGGCGTAATCACTGACATGTTGGTCCGCGAGTGGTGGGGTCCATATGTCAGTGACCACATCCCTCTGACTTCACGTCAGAGGATCCTAATCCCCCCACGCGAATGGACACATGGCGTGTACCGATGGAGGAGGGTACCCGTTCCCTGGTGGGAACGAGTGCTCGGAAGTTTTCAGTAATTAATGCAGAATGATACAGACGTCCCCCGTATCGTTCAGCATGATTTGATGGGGGCCATGCCGAGGCGCTGTGCTCATGGTCTTCCAAGTCAGAGGGATAAGACATGTAATAAATGTAAATAATGTTTTCCTTCTTCTCTAGGTGGGTTTTTGGGCCCCTGTGGTAACCCCTTGAGGTATAAGGAGATCCAGGCCTAGTGAGAAGGGGGATGATTTCTCAGATTTCAACCGACTGATACATTGTGTTCCTCACAGAATCAACCAAATACAGGAGTAGGATGTTACGCTTCTTAGTGGCCCGAACCTGTATAAACCCCTTTTGTCTCATCGTTCTTTAAGGGCCCGACCCCTTCTGCATCGCTCCTTCGACCAAACCTCGATTATCACCCGCTGCCCCCCGACCGAACTAGAAGGGGGCTCCTTAGTCCCCTGCTTGAGGAGTTCACCCTCCAACAGCTGGCACAAACCTCTCATTGGTAATGCGAGAGGGAGGCTGGATTCTGCCATCCAGTGGCACGGAGCTCCACGTCATGGCATTGGCGAAGGAAAGGCGAGAAGAGCGAGAGCGTGTGGCGCAAGGGAGGCACAGAACGGAGAGAGCTAGGGCACAGAAACGCGGCGTATTGAAGTGATTAAAGGAGGGGAAGAGAACCCCTCCTAGTCGTTTTTATCCTTCCCTCCTCCGTGCCCGGCTCCTCATTTCTCGCGGCCACTACGCCCACTTCCCCACGCATCCGCTTCGGTGCGTGTTAGGCACGACATACACGCATGCATACATATTTATATATACATATATACGTATGTATGTAAAGTATATGCATGCATGCATACATACATACATACATACATACATATTTATTTATTTATACAATCTTGATGTATAAGAAAAAAATATATACATATACAAATTAAAGTTTGTATGTTTGTATACGTACATATTTAAACAACAAAGAAACCGAGAGAAAAAAAAGACGTATACAAGGTTGATATATGTATATATTAAAAAACTGAAAAAAATGAAAAACCGAAAGGGAAGAAGAAAACAACCCGTATACCATTATTAGCGGTTTCACTCCGTTTGTCGTGCTAGAGAGGAGGAAAAAAACGGCAAGAGGAGCAGATAGCTCGCCCACGAATTGCCGAGGAAGAGGATAGGTAGAAGACGCATGCAGCTTATGGCAGAGGCGGCGTGTGCAGCCAGCTTGGAAGAGGAGATGGGAAGAAAGCGACGTTTCTGGTGGTGGGGAGATGGGTGCAAAAGGATGGGGAAGAGATAAGGTGTTCCCTGCTTTAGTAGCGCGCAAACATTAGCGAAATAGACATACATTATGTCCAGATTCAAACTCAGGATTGGATTTTTTTTTGGGACGGAGGGAGTACTCGTCTTATCGTCTAGCATGCATTTCGGCATGCATCTGCAATACATATGTTTGCTGCAGTAATTTTGTTCTGCCGCGCAGTCGTGCAGGCGTACAGTCTTACCAGGCGTACGGCCGTACAGTCTTGAGTCCTTACCAGATACAGATAGCCGTACAGTCTTGCAGGCGTGCGGCCGGGGATCATGTCGGAGGGAGCGATGGGAAGAACTTCCATCATTGTGTAGTGAAACTTCTGTGTAACTTATGATGAGATCGTTGTGTAGTCGATCTCATCGATAGACACGAAAGTTGGCTTATGATGCTGAAGCTCGAGACGAGGGACGCCATAGATATAGTGAAACTTCTGTGTAAACGGCACCGAGAAGAAGCACCTCGCTCGCTGCTGCGAAAACCACCCATGCGGTGCTTCCGCCGCCCAATGTCTTTCAACTATGACACTCCGGGTAAGGCGTACTATCTCTACCGTGTGTTCTCCAATGATCCACGCCTCAAGCTCCCAAGCTCGGAGCTCATGCCATCACTGCATCAAGCAGCCCAAGTCGAGGCTGCTGCCGTCCATGATCATCTTGTTGGCATCGACGGCACGGCAAACGAGCTGCTCGGATGGCTCATGGCCGCCGACAAGAGCCTCCGGGTCATGGCCATTGCTGGACCCGCCGGCATTGGCAAGACCACTCTTGCCATGGAGCTCCACCGTCGACTCCGGTGCCAAACTCATTTCCAGTGCCACGTTGTGGCTAAATTATCCCGCAGGCCAGCTCACAGGAGCAAGCAGCTTCTTCTTCAAACCATCCTCAAGCAGATCATGGAGCAACTGGAGGCACCATCATCACCTAACAGCTCAGAAATCACGATGTTGGAGGACGACCCAGAGCTGTTGGCTCGCAACATATCAGAATGCCTCAAGGATAAGAGGTAAACAACATGTACTGCTTGCTTAATTCAGCTGCTATATAGTACTGTACTCATTTAGAACTTCTCTTACGGAGCAGCATCAGAGCTCGAATTCTCTTAATATTTTCTCTCTTCGTATTCTCCCTCCAGATACTTTGCTTTGATTGATGATATATTCGACGGATCAGATTTGGAAATGATCAAGGGTGCATTTCCTAATAATAACTGCAGTAGCAGAATATTGTTTACAGCTCGCGATGAGCAGGTTTCTGGGTGGTTTTTGTCTAATTATAATGGGGTTGTGCATCAGATGAAGCCTCTCAATGACTCGGATTCAGAGAAGCTGCTTCGCACAAAAGCTTTTAGTTCCATGGATGGTTGCCTTCCAGACAATCTTAGGCTATTATGTGATGAAATCTTGAACATGTGTAGAGGAATACCATTGTTCATAACTAGTATGGCAGATTGGTTGAAACAACATCAACAGCAATACGGCAGCTCTGCAGTTCCTAGGGTGGAACAAGTTCGCTTGCTGCTGAAACAATTTGAACACTTGCTATCATTTGATTACAGTGATGAGCTGAGACAACCGTCACTCTACCTAAGCATGTTTCCACAGGGATATGTGTTTGAGAACAAGGATCATCTTGCCACGATATTGGAATACGAAGGGTTCATCCCTGAGTGGGATCTTAGTCCAGATTTTGGAAAGCGGTATTTCTCTTGGTTGCTCAACAGGAAAATCATCATCCCAGCAGCAGAGAACTGTGGACTCAATATTGATGAAGATGACTTGTGCCAGTGGCAGGTCAATCCTTTCATACTGAGGTTTCTTGCCTCCAGAGCAGCAGAGATGGGTCTTGTTTTTACCAGCTCAACGCTCACCTTAGCACCGAGCGGTGGTGGCAACACCACTCGGATAGCACGCCGTCTAGCTCTCCACCATCCTGATCCGCAGCTTCCAGCTATGCTGCAGCAAATGGATTTGTCTCAGACTCGTTCACTACTCATATCTGGTGCAGTCGACAGAACAACAGTCCCTCTAGACAAGTTTGCCTATCTGGTGTTGTTGGATCTTCAAGGCTGGGAGAATTTGAAGGATGAGGACCTACTGCAAATATGCAAAATGTTTATGCTGAGGTATCTGAGCGTCAGGAACACAAGGGTCAGCAAGCTCCCACCTCAGATCAAGGAGCTGCACATCCTGGGGACATTGGACGTCAGCCACACCACCATAAGTGAGATCCCATCAGAAGTGTGGGAGCTAAAGCATTTGAAGATGCTGGACCTAAGAGGCACATGGATAAGACATCTTCCAGAGAAAGTCAAGGAATTGACTAGCCTAGAGAGATTGGATATAAGCCACACCAAGATAAGTGATCTCCCCTCTGGAGTGTGCCGGCTACCTAATCTGGAGACGCTAGACCTAAGAGGCACACTAATAAGCCAGTTGCCAGATCAAATTGTGCGGATAAAGTGGTTGAGAAATCTTATTGTTGGTGCTGCTGGAGCTGGATCTGGAATGATTGATTCCGACCAAACAGTGCTAACAAAGATACCCGAGACGATCCACCAATTAAGATATCTAAAGACGCTAGCAACTATCGATTTAAGTGAATTCTCTGTAAAATCAGTACAGTCTCTTGGTGATCTGAAGCAGTTGGAGGTCCTCACAATAACATGGTCCTTTCACCAGTGCAGTGACAAAGACTACCAACAAGCCCTACGATCATCCATAGAAGGATGGTGGGAGCTTAAGTCCATGACTATTCATTGTGGGCTCGGTTGTTCCATGGAGTTCCTCGGTTCTCTAACAGAACCACCTGAAAATCTTGAGAAATTTAAGGTAATAGCTGGAAAATTTTCCCGTGTTCCCCAATGGATCGAAAGGCTCGACCGTCTTACTTTCTTGCAGATCACGGTCTGCAAACAAGTGGCAGATGATGTCAAGATCCTCGCGGGCTTGATCAAATTACAGCGCCTGGTACTAGGCTTGGAGTTCATTCCTGAAAATCCAATAGTGATTGAGAAAGAAGGGTTCAAAGAGCTTGAGAGATTCTCCCTTGATTGCCCTGTCCCATGGCTGACCTTCGAAGAAGAGGCTATGCCGAAACTCACATATCTTCGACTGAATTTGCACGCATCCCCTGCAAGCGAGATGAGTGTTCCTTCAGGTATCAACAACCTTAAAGAGCTTACAGAGGTAACACTATGCTACAACATACGGTACATCAACAGCCCCAACATTAAGATGACGACAGACGCAGTTAGCAAAGAGGTTGCCAAGCATAGCAACACTATTGACCTTTTCATCAAATGGCATCAGAAAAGATGTTATTCGGTCAAGTGACAAGAAGGAAGAGAGTGCAACAGGATCCGAAGTCGATGCAGCGGAGGATGGTGCTCAAGCGGCCGATGAGGCCACACTGAGGACAACAATACAGGTTCAAAGCGAGATTGAAGTTGAAGGTGAAACAGAGAGCCATACTTAACTCTAAGCAACCAAGGTCCCAAGGAAATGGTAAATTACTGTTCGTTTCTACTAGCAATTAGTAACTCCCATTTTAGCTGATAAATTCCTTACTTGTTGGCTTTTGCGAGCAGGGGATGATGTCCTCCTCTCCTGACTCCTAAGGGGACAGAGTTAATAAAGGAGGACGGCCTGCACTGCTTCAGCTTCGATTAGGATTTAGGAGCAGACAAGAAGAAGCTTCTGTACTTTTGCTGGCAAATGGCATAAAACTCTTGCATCTCATGGTCGCTTCTGTATTGCCGTTGGCCAGTTTGTATCTGTACATTATCTAAAAAGTTTGTATCTGTAATTTCTGTGTGTAGTTGCTGTTGGCCACTTGTATCTGTAAGTTCTATTTCTGTGTCCATGTTTTCGTTCAAACATAATTATGCGAGTATAGTCATGTTGTTGCAGGCTGCATGTTCATTCGTATCAGACTCCCTTGTTGTAATAGCTATACATTGTACCTCTCTAATTGAGCTAGCTCATGCATGGCGTCTTGTACAGCGCATTTGGGGCTAAGAACTTGGGAAAATGTTGGACATGACAACATCAGACATGGCAAATCTGCGTTGTATAAGTTTTGACTGGGACTGAAGCTGGCGAGAACGGTGATTACGTGGCTGTGATGAGTGGTGACAGTCGAGATTAATTAGAACTGAATATGACGATGGGATTCAGCGGCAATAACACAACTGGCCAAACCTCGGTGTCGCTGTGTTACGTAGTAGTACTGAACTACTGATGATGTGTTTACTGTTTACTAGTATTCAGTACTGCAGGTTGACGCCCCAGTTTTGTGCACAAATATTCGAGACTCGCAAGTCCAAAACCAAGTTAAAGTAATTCGTTAAAATCAATGTTGTTTTTCTAGTCTTGCCATTAATTATAACTTTTTTCCTATAAGTTAAAAAAAATTGTAAATTCGATCTGGAGTTTCAGGCCCAAGCCTCAGTACAGTATTTAGAGTGAGTGTGCTCCAGAAAACTTAATAGAACTTACTAGTGCCACTGCCAGCACGACTTCATAGTAAAAAGCGGGCAGAACTTCTCTCATGAAATTGCCGTGAGATGAGACTCTCAAAAAAGGCGCCTAGTGTAGGATAGAATACGCAGAACGAACCAAAGCACATAGACGAAGGATCTGCCGAAAACTTGATATATGGTTAAGTGAACCAAGAATGGAAAAACAAAATTATGCTAGCATGCGGTACAAGGCGCTTTCGATTGCTGAATGTACAAAAAGTCTCGAGTATCTTTAAAGCTGGACGTCCAGTGCAACAAGAATGTATGAAAAGCAGTACACCATCACTCCATCAGTAGCTAAACAACAGTTTCACCACGTGATGGAGAGAAGTGCCTTTCGTCTGTTTCTCAAACTGGTCCACCTCAACCACAAAAAGTACCTTCGGCCTGTTTCTCAAACGCAGCATGTAGACAAGTTGCAGAACAACCGTTTAGGCTAAAGGCAAAATCATACAGCAACACAGTTCCAAGATTAACCAACATAAGTGTTATACTCCTATAATCTATCACAGATAATTGCAAATGAACACTTCACTACTCGAGGAACTTGAATAAGAGTCAAGCTGTAAAAATAATATTTATATTTAATTCAGTAACATGCTGTGTAGCTTTACTGCCAATGGGCATCTTACCTCGGAGAAAACCGTTAAACTTTAGGTTAAATCTTGATGTTGAATTAGTCGGAATCAAAATGATGCAGTCTCACATACTTCACCACCACTCGAAAAGCTATTTACATAGCATTATACTCCCTCCGTTTTTTAATAGATAACGCCGTTGACTTTTAAACATATGTTTGACCATTCGTCTTATTCAAAAAAATTTATGCAAATGTATAAGATATAAATCATGCTTAAAGTATTTTGAGTGATAAAACAACTCGCAACATAATAAATTATAATTACGTAAATTTTTTGAATAAGACAAATGGTCAAACGCGTGATAAAAAGTCAACGGCGTCATCTATTAAAAAACGGAGGTAATACAATTTTCAAACAAAGCAATAGTGGCTCCCAATGGAAAATGCATTGGAAATAATCATGAAGCCACTACCATCTGCACATGCATTGAATCAATACAAGAAACACCTTGCATCAACATAATAATTATATAATATGGGGGTAACAGATAACTATGTTTCTTCCTAGTATGCCTTGTGGATGTTGACAGAAAAGGCAGCTCTCATAAGTATTATTTTTCAACAGCTCCAATCAGAATAGCGTATAAAACCAATGTGACTGGTTGAAATCACTGAGCTTCGAAATCATTAGACATATACTACGCTTCAAACAGCCACACTAAGAATGCAACTAAATTGCGCACTAACAGATCAAATTTAATCTTGGACAGCATAGCTCTCATATTCTCATTCATCATCAAACTATGGTCAGCATAGCGTATATTACCAACAAAAGTGACTACAATCACTGAGCTATGTATGACACAAGAAAAGAACTTCAACAAAACGAAAATAAACAAACAGCATAAGAATTCAATAGAGAACAAGTGAGACCAATGAATCAATTTAAGGGACAAAACTAGAGGGGTGGTGGGGTTAAAATGACAGGTGAATGACGGTTGTACGACAATGCAAAAGTCAAAGCTTAAGTAAAAAAAGGAGATAAATGCCCATGGGAACATAGCCAGTAGAACCACAACAATGTACTATAAATCTATACACTGAGTAACATAGAAAATAGACACCTGCTCTCATAATGTTTATGACATCTTAATATGATTCAGAATAGCGTATATTGTGATGGCATAACATGGCTTATAATCCTTGAGCAGAAAACACACAGAAGTAATATGGAACAAAAGCTAATCCAGAACATAAGTACATAGGTAAAACTTAAATATAGCATTCTTACAATAATGCAGACAGATGTATTAAGAATATTACCTCCATCCATCAGGATTAAATGCCAGCACGTTAATTGGTCCAAAATGGCCTTTAACACCAATTTCCTCTTGCAAAATCTAAAGAAAAAAATATAGGCGCCTTATTCTTGAACAGAAAAAAATAACTTTGTAAAGGAGATCTACACTATCATTGTTCTCACTAAAACATAAGACAAACTATGTGCGAAGAACTGACCTTGTGAAAGAACTTCGGTTCAAATTTTCCTGCAAGACAGTTTGTCATAGTCACATTCATAGCATCTTGACCACCTCCAATAACCACCTAACACAACGAAGAATTCTTGTGATTAGTAGTTAGAATAGGAATGGGAACAAGATGAGCTGACTACTCGTTACAGTAACATCTCAGGTGAACAATTCAGATGTGGCCAATTAGACATTTTTTTCGTGTTAGTACAACTACACATCCATGACAGCCAACAGCACTCAAACAAATTATATGGAATTAGGGCAAATCCAGGGTGAAAAGATGTGCTGGACAGGTACATAGGTGCTTTTGCACTTCCTGGTGTATATTCATTGTTATGTATGCATGTATGCATGTAAAAGTACTAATTGCAGATAAGAAGCATGTGAATTTTCCTCAAAAAAAAAAAGAAGCATGTGAATGAATCATTTGTTGCTCTCGTCTTATAGTAAAACTAATCATAGAAGGAAAATGACTCAAAAGTGAGAAAAAACTTGTGCCAACCAAAATCATCAAAAAAAAGCATAAGTAATATCCATATTCAACTAATCAGGAGGTTTACTTCAGAGCAAAATAAAGAAACAGAGACCATAGGCATTTCGATCCCAACAATAACATGTTGGGAACATATGCAGTTAGCATAACATAAAACGAAGTAATTTAAGGCATGACCATGTAATCTTGTAAAAACATTGCATCTATAAAAGAACTTGAGGAAATGTATTTAGGAATTAGGTATTGTGACATAGGTCGCTCAGTGACACATGTCTTGATCAGTGTCAAGAGTTCTTGTATCCCATAGCTAGCCAGATAGAAATGTGCATGACAGTAAATAATCATATTTGTAGTATGAAGTACAAACAATTGAAGACATGATTATGCTAGCAGCATCAACAAAATATCACCTTAGCAGACTTATCCAAGGAGCCTGTTTGGAAAGGCGATCAATCTGAAGATTTGGAAAGTGAAGTAATTGTTTTCTGATGTCCTTGTTCCTTGTCTGACTCCTTCAGGCATTGTCCAGTCTGTACATGCATAAACCAAACAGAATGTAAAAGCATCCCATGATAAAGTTGATGGAAAAACCTGTTCATTCCCATACAGTTACAAAGTCAGCATGTTTAATAAAAGGTAAAACGGCAACAAATAACCAGCATGCGTTATGCATAAATGTAGCATGTTTTTGGTTAGTGAACAGACAACACAAACTACCATTTTGTCATTTGCACTATATTGCCAGACTCAATTCAAATCAAGAAGCCTGCAAGGTATTTATCACCAGTTCAATGACTACAAACATATGTCATGTTAATTCATACTGTTGCCATCAATAAACTGTGACAGTCGCACATACGTAACAGTGATTTTTCAACCATATCTGGTAATTTTTTGACTATCAAACAACTTCACTTGTCAGTCCACAGATACATGTCGAATGCTAAACAAGAGCGCTACAGGTTCAGAATTATATGCAAATTATCACATTCCGGACAAGCATCACACACCTACTAGTCAAGAGTTTCTAGTAGCACGAGTGGTAAGTAGAGATAACATATGGCAATGCAAGCTAACCTCGGTGATGAACTGATGATGGTCCTGTTCGACGGGCCCTACACGGCACTGTTAATCCTCCCCAATAATCACGAGAAGAGACTCTTCCGGCTCTGCATCCACAACCACACACTTCAGAATTCACGCATCCGGAAGCTTCCAAGCGGAAGGAGACTGAAGAGGTAGGAAGAGGAGACGCGTCTTACGGTCATCGGGGTCCTCGGCGATGCGCTTGACCTGGGCGGTCGCCGGTCGGCACCTTCTACTCCATGAAGCTGTCGGTGGTGATGACGACGAGGCCATCGCCGATGGCGAACTCGTCTGAGCGCGCTCTTCGCCGCCGGGCTTGTGCTTCCCTGCGCCGCCGGGGAGGAAGGGTGGTAAACTGGTAGGGTTAGGGAGAGAGGATGGGGTGGGGGATCTGGAATTCTGGATCGGTGCGGAAAAACCCTAACCGGGCCGGCCCAATCACTTCTTGGTATCATGGCCTCGTGGGCCGTTGGGCCAGTGTATTTACATTTCGAATGGGACCACCTATATATTTGTCGACAAATTTTCTAGTAAAAATTTGACAGATGTAATTATAGTACAATCGTAGTGTAATTACACTATAACTTGTATGTAATTACACTGTAACTTGCATGCGACTATAGTGTAACTTGTATGTAAGTTTCACGTAATTTTGAATCGTTAGATCTATTACAAGATTTGTTCTGGTGAGGAAGAAAAAAATCATAGCACACACATATGTGAAAGGATTTGTTCCCACGACCTCTATTTTACTGAAATAACATGTTACCGAGAGATTCTTGAAAGTTACATACAAGTTACATTATAGTTACAGTGTAATTACATGCAAGTTACAGTGTAATTACACTACGATTGTACTGTAATTACATCTGACAAATATTAGGGGGAGAAATTTGATGACAAATATCTAGCAAAATCGTTTCGAATAAGTTCACTTGAGCTCTCTTAGCTTGTCATCGAGTTTAAATCAAATTCATGAACTGTAATAGCAGACATAACGTGACCTTCAAATTGCAATATCGTAGCATTCTAGACAATATTTTATCCGGTTTTAGCTATCGTGGTGAATTCATGGATCGTGTTTTTTGAACGGTTCAGGGAAATTCATAAGTTATTTTTATTTTGCAAGGACATTAAGGGGATTTCAGAAATTCAAAAGTTCTTAATTACACGCACTGTACTATGCGTGTAAGAGTTGATTCAGGCTGTGTTTAGTTCACACCAAAATTAGAAGTTTGGTTGAAATTAAAACGATGTGATGGAAAAGTTAAAAGTTTGTGTGTGTAGAAAAGTTTTGATGTGATGGAAAAGTTGGAAGTTTGAAGAAAAATTTTGTAACTAAACACGGCCTCATTTTCTTGAAGAATAACTCAAGCTGAAAATATCTTAATCACAATAGAGTAACAGAAGACCAGACGACTTTATTGACTTGCTGGTGCATGGGCCAGAGCTTGCAGAATGTCAGGAAGGAGGGAAGGTGGAGCAACATGGTAAGCGTACATGACAATTGACAAGTTGACAGTATACACGCGCGTCTCCGTTCTTACCGCGCTCAGCTGTCTCGGCGAGGATTAATTACTGCCTCCACATCCTCCTCGACGCCATTGTTGACGAGCTTGACCGTGTACCGGAGCTCGGCGACCTGCCTCCGGATGGCGTCCACCGTCGCCCTGACGCTCCGGCTGTTGATGTACCACGCGTCGTACTGCACGGCGACCTGCTCGAGGCTCAGGAGGTTGGCGATGCCCGACGGCGGGCTCTCATGGCTCGCCGGGCCCGTGGAGAGCTTCAGCTCGAGGTCAGTTAGCTTCGGCATGGCCCCTTCCTTGAACACCAGCCATGGCACCCGGCAATCGACGGACAATCTCAGGAGCTCACGGAACGGGTAGATGATGATCCCATTCTTCTCGTCGTCGCCGTCTTCTTCTTCTTCATGGATTTTTGAGTTCAGGGGAGCTCTGTTGCTTCTGTTTTGAGAGCTGGACATGAACCCCTGACCTTGGATCACAATGGCTTCTCTTGGGAGGAAATCCAGCCCCAGCTCGAGGCACTCCAACCTGTGCAAACGTCCAAGAATCTTGACGCCTTCTGGGGCTAGCTTGCAGACCCTGATATGAAGCGAGGAGAGGTGGTTGAGCCCTGCGATCCACCGCGGGACGGTGAGGAACCGGGCGTGCATCGCGACGTGTCGCAGGTTCTGAGGCGCGTCTTCCGGCGAGAAATCGAGGAACTCCATGGAGCAGCCGAGCTCGCAGCGGATCGTCAGCGACCTGAGGCACTTCAACCTCTGGACGAGGAAGCTCAGGTTGTCCTGGTACTCCTTGTCGGTGCACTGGCGAAGGGATAGCGACACGGAAAGCACCTCCAGGCAACGAAGAAGGGAAAGTTTCCTGACGACGTCGGCTGAGCATTCGCGTAGATCGACAGCTGCTAGTGTCTCCAACGTATCCCGGAGCATCCCCCAATCGATCCCCTTGGGGATCCTCGTGCTCGCCGCGCCGTCGCCAGCGCGCAGATGCCGCAGCGCCACTAGGTCGTCGATTCGCTCCGGCAGCCGCTGTATCCGGGTGCTTCTCAGGTCGAGCTCCTCCAGCGAGCGCAGGGTGCACACCTCCGGTGGGAGCTTGGCGATCCGGGTGTGGCTGGCGTCCAACGTCTCGAGCGAGCTCAGCATCCCGATCTCCGGCGGGAGCTCGCTGATACGCGTGTTCCTCAGGCTGAGATACCTGAGCAGGAACAGTTTGCCGCTGCTGAATATCCGTGGCAGGTCATCGTCTTTCAGCTTCTCCCAGCCTTGCAGATCCAGCACAACCAGATGCGGGAACATTTCAAGAGAAATACCGTCCACTTCTCCAGAGACCGTGAGCGAGCGAGTGAAGGAGAACATCTCTTCCATCTGCGCCGGGACCTCCTGATCTGCAGGCTGCTGCTGCTGCTGGCCATGGTGGAGGAACACCCGCCGTATCTGCAGGCCGGATGAGCCGCGGAGCGTGCCGGTGTCGCAGCAACTGGTGGTGACGAAATTCTTGTCCGCGGATTTCGACGCGAGGAGCTGGAACATGAAATGATTGACCTGGTAGCTGCAAGGGTTGCATTCACAATCGCACGCCCTCCTCCTCGTCCTCGCCGGACGGATGATACACCGCTGGACGAGCTGCGAGAAGCATTCCTCTGCTCTTTCCTCGAACCCGCTCTGCAACGTGTGCACCGCGATCAGCCCCTCGGCCTTCCATTTCCTGATGAGGAGGTGCTTGTCGATCACGTAACCCTGCGGGAACGTGCTCATGTACAGCGACAGTAGCCGCAGCTCGCAGGGGAGATTGTCGTAGCTAGGAGACAGCGTGTCCTCGACTTGCTTCAGTTCTCTGATTCCGCTTGGCAAATATGCTGCAACACAAGGTCTGGAGATATCCATCGTCACCCCACTCTGATCTCCTTCTTCGTCATCGTAGTCTTCTTCCTGCATCTGCTTCGACACCAGGCCGGCCATGGCAATTATGAGCAGCGGTGTGCCGTCGCATACCCTCAGAATCTCATTGGAGACTCGTCCAGAATTGGCTGGCCGCGGCCAACCGTGAGCCACTGCCGAGAACAGCCTCTCGGAATCTGTCGCGCCGAGAGGCTTGACCTCGTGCACGAGGCCGTTAGGCCATGGGTGCGAGCAGCAGGAGCGAGCGACGCTTCTGATGCGCGTAGTGATTATTATGCGGCTGTGGCATCTGTTGCTCGGGAAAGCATCCCAGATGTGCTCCCAGTCCGATGTTCTCCACATATCATCGATTACGATGAGGTACCTGCAGCAATTGTGTGTATGTATCACATCGCCAGCTTAAAACGAACAAACTGGTTTATAGCCTCCAAAAACACTGAGGGCTGCTTTAGATAGTAGGATTGAAAAAATGAAGAAATAGAAAAAAAAACATAGGATTTTAATAGGAATGTAAGTGTAAAACAGATGGATGCAAAACACAGGAATAGTCGTTTGACTGAACCTTATGAAAAACACAGAAATTGAATGAGAGTGATAGACTCAAAAGTAAATTTTTTAAGAGGTTTGAGCTCTTGCTAAGTTTTCCTCAAACTCTATATGCAATGAGCCGTTCCATCGGAATTTTAAGATTTGGAAAGCCTCAATCCTTTGAATCAAATGACCACATAGAAAACATTAATTCCTATAGAATTTGAATCCTACGAAATTCTTAAAAAAAAAATTCTTTTGATTCAAAGAGCACTATTTTGGTACTTGCGATTTCTCATTACCTTAAAAATAAGTCATATAATGCATTCACAATATAATTTAGTCCATGTTGGGGGGATGGCTCCGGGTAGCGGAGCCAGCCTCCATCGTGTGATGCAGCACCTACCGGAGCCATCCACCCTAGGAGAATGACCGGAGGAATCTACTGATCTGGGCTTCAGAGCTAGCCAAGGCCTCCAGAGCCGACCTGGGCCTTCGGAGCCACCTAGGGGCTCCGGAGTCATCCAAGGCCTGCCAAGGCCTCCGGAGCAATTCACAGGCTCCGAAGGAAGCCAAGGGCTCCGGGGTCGTTCAAGGTCTCTGGAGCCGACCAAGGCCTCCGAGCCATCCATAAGCTCCGGAACTATTCGAGGGCTCCGGAGCCGACCAAGGCCTCCGAAGCTCTCCGTACGCTCTGGAACCATTTGAGGCTTCCAGACTCTATCAAGGCTTCTGGGGCTGGTCAAAGGCCCCGGAGGAAGCCAGGGCTCTTGGAGCCCTGGATATAGGATAGAGGATCAGGCGCGTAGTGGGACTACATAAATACACACTGCACGCCTGCCAACCACCTCTGACATCGTTGACGAGGGCAAGACGGTGCATGCTATTATCCGGAGCACGGCATTACCCGAGTAATAGCGGGCGCCCTCAGGAATCGGCGCTGCTTCCTTAATGGGCGCAGTCCTCCTATCACTAGGGGAATTACCCGAGAGCCCACAAGCTGGCCCACTAGCCAGCCACTTAGATTAGTTGATAATATGGGTAGCAGTGTAATTTCCCTTTGTACACTCTCGTATAAATATGTAAACGTTGCCCGCGATTGAGGCATCGAATACAAAAAAGAATACACACTCAATCGTTGGATTTTGCCCCAACAGTCCAAAAGCTTAAAAATTAAATATGTCAGTGCAACAACTTGACATGTGGGTGCAATCTACTATAGAAACTAAGGCCCTGTTTAGTTCCAGGGGTGAAAAGTTTGGTCGTGTCATATCGAATATACGTACATACATTTGAAATATCGAACGTAGACCAATAATAAAACAAATTACAGATTCCGCCTGTAAACTGCGAGACGAATTTATTAAGCCTAATTAATCCGTCATTAACAAATGTTTACTGTAGCACCACATTGTCAAATCATGGAGCAATTAAGCTTAAAAGATTCGTCGCAATTTACACGTCTGTGTAATTAGTTTTTTTTTGTTTATATTTAATACTCCATGCATATGTCCAAACATTCTATGTAACAGGGTGAAATGTTTTTGCGTAGGAACTAAACAGGGCCTAATAAGTGAGTATTCAACAACTTAGCAAGATAGGTACAATTTCGGTACAATAAGCGATGCAACAACTAATTATTTCAAGCATTTATCTATACAAGTTTAGGCTGTGTTGGAAACTAATCCCTGCGTACGTAGAATGGATCGACTTATTAGCATATGATTAATTAAGTATAACTAATTATTTTTAAAAAAATGGATTAATATGATTTTTAAAACAACTTTCGTATAGATTTTTTAAAAACAAAACATATCGTTTAGCAATTTTGTGAAATGTACGCACCGAAAACGAGGGAGATGAGTTGGAAACTCACACTTAAGAACACAACCTTAGTCTTTTAAGTACTCACTATGTCAATATACTTTGCTTTAAAACAGACGTCAATATATACTTGCACACATTTTTATAAGCATACTTAATTCAAATTGTTGTCCGTAACTAAAATTCAATTAAATTTTACAGTGTACAAAATTTTGTATTTCATTTGAGATCTAAGAATGTGAAAAAAAAACCAATGGTTGGGTTTGCTATGTGGTGGCAGTTGACATCATGAAAAAAAAATTCACATAGCACTCTTTAACTAAAATATAGAATTCTTCTTGTCCTAGATCACATCCACCCGCATACGATGTACGAAAGAAATAATGGGGACTAGCTATATTATTATAACATAATTTAAATTTCCATTTATCTTTAAAAAAAATCTGGGGCACTAAATTTTCCATTAAAAACATAAGTTTTTAACCATTCGTCTTATTTAAAATATTACTCCCTCCATCTACTTTTGATAGTTATATTTCCAAATCTGAAAATTTTATTTTTGATAGTCATATTTCAATACAACAACCTATCCTCTTAATGGCTTTCTCGGATTTAATGCGTAACTCTCCATTCTTCCACACAAGATTGGTTGCATAGGCATCGAGAAATGTAAATTTTAATGAATCGCTTGTTTACAAGAAATAACTAGTAACATGTTTAAATGGATGATAAGTAGAATTACTTTTACTTGGACTGTGTGCCAAGATGAAATATGATGATCAAAAATAGATGGAGGGAGTATATAACTATCTTGTGATTTGTTTTATTTGTAGAGGTACTATTGGCTGACTTGTATTATACATATTTGCACAAAAAGTTGAATTAGACAAATGACGAAACGTGTATCCAAAAATCAAATCCTGTCGTATCATATGAAATCCATATAGGACCTGTTTAGATCACACCCTAAAATTTTTCACCCTGTCACATCAAAAGTTTAAACATCTGCATGAAGTATTAAATATAGACTTAAAAAAAACTAATTACACATATTTGTGACTAATTTGTGAGATGAATATTTTAAGCCTAATTGCTCCATGACCTGACAATGTGGTGCTACAGTAAACATTTGCTAATGATGAATTAATTAGGCTTATAAATTCGTCTTGCGGTTTACAGACGAATTTTATAATTAGTTTTTTATTAGTGTCTGAATACCCAATACGACATCCTATATAACACGCCAAAACTTTACGCCATTGATCTAAACACGGGAGGGCCATTATAGCTGCTACAGCTTGACAGTGGCAACTCGTGGTCAGTGGTTACAACCGTCCAATGTGAGATCCAACCGCTCCTAAGCAGCCCCCGGTCACGGTACAACAGTAGCAGAGTAGCAGTGGGCCCCACCACTTCATTTGTTCACCGTTGGATCTGTAGGACTGTAAAAAATAGCTGGAGGCCCATCAGCTACTCAAGCTCCACTTGTCCCGTACTACCCGTCGCAAAATACTTGTTGCTTTAAATTTTTATTTGTAACATCTGATTATTTGTCTTATTCAAAATATTATGAAATTATTATTTATTTTGTTTGTGGCCTACTTTATTATCAAAAGTATTTTAAGTGTGACTTTTCTTTTTTTATATTTGCACTAATTTCTTAACTAAAATAAAGGAATAGAAAAAACACATGATTCTAACAGGAATAAAAGTGTAAAACAGAGAATTGTAAAATACAAGAATGACCATTTGATCGAACCGTAGGAAAAAACATAGGAATCAGATGACAGAGATAGACTCAAAGGAAATTTTCCAAGAGCTTTGAGCTCTTGATAAGTTTTCTCCAAAATCTTTATAGGATTGTCCATTTCCATAGGAATTTATGTTTATAGGAATTTTTTCTATGGGATTGAAATCCTTCAAAATTTCTATATGTGTTTCCTCCTAATGAAAAGGGGCCTTAATGTGTAGCGCACTGATAACCGACTATAACACATGTGTTTTGTAATTCTGATATACGCTCTTCTTCTGCTCAGGGCCAGCCCTGGGGCAGTGCGGGAAGTGCGACCGCACTGGGCCTCCAAAAATTAGGGACCTCTAAAATATGTATACTACGGTACCAAGCCTGATAGGCTACTTTGTGCATTGAGAAGATGCTGGTAAATAAGATTGTTATTGACACTATCATCACTGATTGAATCTAGAACTATTAGAAGAAATTGGTTTAAATAATCTAGAGATATTTTTTTAGTAATTAGTGTGAAATTCGTTAATGACAATAAGTTTTTAAATATTATCTTGTATTTTTATGGTGAATCGGGGCTTTTATTTTTTTTTCGCACTGGGCCACCAAAAAGTCAGGGCTAGCCCTGCTTCTGCTTCAACTTTGTTCAGTTTGGTTTATTGCAGAATTAATACATGTAACCGACAGGACTTATGCTGTGTTTAGTTTCACGCTAAAATTAAAAGTTTGAAAAAATTAAAACGATGTGACGAAAAAGTTAAAGTTTATGTATGTAGAAAAAGTTCGATGTGACGAAAAAGTTAAAAATTTAAAGAAAAAAAGTTGGAATCTAAACAGGGACTAGTATTAAAATTAAAACTAGTATTAAAAGGAAGACAGTGTGTTGCTTAAATAGAAGGGATCGAGCTACAGTACCTCTTAGTTTGCAGGTATTGTTTGATGTCGTAAGCCAGCGCGCAGTCATCGCCGTCCAAGGTGGCCGCGTCCGCCTGCGACCCGGTGATCTGCGACATGATGTGCCGGAGGAGCTTGTCGTTGTGAGGCGGCCTTGCGGAGAGCCTGGCCACCGCGCGGCACTGGAACTGCCCTTCGATCTGGCGGAAGACATCCATGGCCAGTGTCGTCTTGCCCATCCCAGCTGGTCCGACAACAGAGAGCACCTTCAGCTGCGCCTCCCCATCGTCGGAGGCCGTGAGCCATCTGGCCAGCTTCTTCCTTGGGACGTCGATGCCGACAAGAATACTGGGAGGGCCAACGTCGACGACGACGTCGGGCGCTGCCGGCGGCGCGTCGGTCACAAGCAGAAGCTGCTCGATCCAGGCAAGGTTCAGCTCCCGGAGCTCTGTCTCGGCCTTATCTGGTGCGTAGCCATCGATGAGGTCATCGATCCATCTAGCCAGATCTATCAAGTAGGCGCAGTGGTTCACGGTCTGGGAGTCGACATGCCCCGGACCAATTCGCTCGGCCGATGCCAGCAGCTGCCGCAGTGCTGCAACAAGGCTGCTCAGCTCCGTCTCCGTGAAGACGAAGCCACGGCGGGCGAGGACGGAGAGGCCGGCGTGCCCACGCTCCGACCGGAGCAGATCGGATATCCTACCGGGAAGACGATCCATCGCCCTTAGTACTCCCTCCATCTCCTCCTTCGCGGCTGCCGCCATTCTGGCATCTCGTTGTCTCTCCAACTCGCGCGCTATCCTGACCTCTCTCTTTCTCCCAATCTCTTTCTCCCTCCTCGACATCCACCCGTTCCAAGCATCCCAATCCCGATCCCCCTCAATAACATCCACCTGACGAGAAGGCGAAGGAAAACAAGGGAAGCCGACTCCTCTCCCCATGAATGTGATGAACAGCAGTTATCATACACTAAGGGCCCTTTTGAATCACAGGAATGAAAAAACAGAGGAATAAGAAAAACGTAGGATTTTTGTAGGAATGAAACTGTAAAAACAGAGGATTGCAAAACATAGGAAAGTTATGTTACTAGCCCTTTGAATGGGTATAGGAATTTCACAGGAAAGAGAGTGTCAGGAAGTGTATTAATACATGTCACTTTGGCCTTATCCACAATATCACAATGTATATTTTCTTCTAAAAGAACAACAATGATGCATATGTCTGTCATTTATCTCCATCCTACGCACACATGATGGAAAAAAGAGGTTAGGGTGGATGTTTTCTTTTCCTATGTTTTCCCTGTGAAATGAGTTCCAAAGGAAAATTTCCTCTAACTTTCCTATGCCCTACTCCTATGAATCAAAGGCTGCTACAGTGCCCAATCCTAAATCCTACATTTTTCCCATGAAATTCCTATGAATCAAAGGAGGCCTAAATTCTGAGATTTGTCTGTGCATAAGCCTTATCCAGCTGTATAAGCCGGCTGCTAGCTCATACGCGCTCGGCACAGTGCCAGCCACTGTCTGGGCGAGCGTACCTGGGAGAGGGCACCGCCTCGGTGAGCGTGCGAGCTAGCTCTTGGCGTCCTGTTCATCGATTAAAAAACTCTATGAGCTAGCTAAGAGCTGCCCATTGGAGACGGCTTTAGGAAAGAGAAAAGCCAGCGGGCTACAGATTTGTAATCAGCTATAGCACAGACTTTAAGACACAGTGTATGTATGACAGGTGGGACCAGGTATTAATAGTGTAGTATGTAACTATTGTATGAATGAGTTATTAAATTACCTATAGATGAATTAGAGCTAGTAGTTGGCTGTACTATTGAACTTGCTCTTAAGAGGGGGTGAGCAAATGTACTGTATATAATTTTAGAGAGGGTCCTAAGCGTGGGGTCCATTAAAGAATAGTGCTAGGAGGAATGTACTATGGTGGGACCATCTTAATAAAATACTGTAATCTTTATGATTCTTTTCTCTTCACCAAGCTCTGTCGTGATGTGTTCAAACACACAGGCCACAGGCTCGCATATAATACACCTGGATTTTTCATATTTTGGTTCTTTTCAAAAACCTATTTCATAAATAGACCTAAAAAAACTTATCTCAGAAATAGTCTTTTTAGGACGCCAAAGTGGCTGGCGTCGTGGTCAAACAGCACAGCGCCACCAACTTTGGCGCCGTCACCAACTTTGGCGCCGTCCCTCTGCCACCGTGGCATCACGCAGCCCTCTCTAGCTGACGTGGCATAGGAGGGCGCCAACCGTGCTGGTGACGCCACCCACCTACAAAGCGTCAGCACTAGTGGCGTGCTCATCCTTAGACTGTGTTTATTTCAGTACAAAGTTAGGATTTTGGTTGAAATTGGAGATGATGTGACTGAAAAGTTGTGTGTATGACAGGTTGATGTGATGGAAAAGGACTGAAGTTTGGATCCAAACTTTAGATCTAAACACAGGCAAAGTTTGGATCCAAACTATATAACAGGTTGATATGATGGAAAAGGACTGAAGTTTGGATCCAAAGTTCGGATCTACAACCTTAATTTGCTCTGCCTAAGATTGGGGCTGTGTTTAGATCCAAAGTTTGGATCCAAACTTCAGTCATTTTCCATCACATCAACCTATCATACACACAACTTTTCAGTCACATCATCTCTAATTTCAACCAAAATCCAAATTTTAAACTGAACTGAACACAGCCTTGGTTGTACTCTACCGGAGGGCATGACCCTGCAGCAGCTACACCACCCTAAACTAGCAGCTACACACCTGTACACCCTGCAACTTTACATTACATCATTATTAACTTGCACCTGCCCAGGCAGGTATCATTACATTACTACCTGCGTTTTGGAAGGGATTTTATAAACCCAAACGGACATTTCAATACCGTATGATTAATTAAGTCTTAACTACTCTTTTTTAAATAAATAGATTAATATAATATTTTAAAGCAACTTTCGTATAGAATATTATTTTAAAAACATACACCATTTAACTGTTTGAAAAACGTACAAGTGAAAAACAAGATGTAAGGCTGTATTTAGATCCAGGGTTAAAATTTTTGCCGTGTCACATCGTATATACGGACACACATTTAAAATATTAAACGTTGTCTAATAAAAATACAAATTACAGAATCCGTGAGTAAACCGCGAATTTATTAAACCTAATTAATAAATTTCGTCTCGCGGTTTACACGTGGATTATATAATTTGTTTTGTTATTAGACGACGTTTAATACTTTAAATATGTGTTTATATATCCGATGTGATACGCTAAAATTTTATACCCCAACACAGGTTGTGTTTAGTTCAGCGCAAAGTTTAGATTTTGGTTAAAATTAAAGATGATATGACTGAAAAGTTATGTGTATATGACAAGTTGATGCGATGGAAAATGACTAGTTTGATCTACACAGCCACGTCCTCATCCTGAATTCATGATGCGCGATGGATACGTACCTGACACGATTTGACATGCACAGTGTTTGGGGCATGGGCCTGCTGCAGTGCTGCCTGCTGTAGTACTCCTCCTGGCTCCTCTAGCGCCAGTTTGGTTCTCAAAACTTTTTCCCTTCACCTATCACATCGAATCTTTGACACATGCATGGAGCATTAAATGTGGACAAAAAGAAAAACCAATTACACAGTTTAGCTATAAATCGCGAGACGAATCTTTTGAGCCTAATTAGGCCATGATTAGCCATAGGTACTACAGTAACCCACATGTGTTAATGACGGCTTAAGTAGGCTCAAAAGATTCGTCTCGCGGTTTCCAGGCGAGTTTTGAAATTAGTTTTTTCATTCGTGTTCGAAAACCCCTTCCGACATCCGGTCAAACGTCTGATGTGACACCCAAAAATTTCCTTTTCTCCAACTAAACACAGCTAAGGGCCCCTTTGAATTGGAGGGAAAACATAGGAATTTTAGAGGATTTCAATCCTATAGGAAAATTTCGTATGAAACCCTTTGAAACAAAGGATTGAATCATATCTAATCCCTTGAAATTCCTATGGAATGGACGATCATATAGAGATTTTGGAAGAAATTTAGCAAGAGCTTCAACCTCTTGCTAACTTTTCTTTGAGTCTATCTCTCCCATCTAATTCCTGCGTTTTTCCTGCGGTTCAATCAAACGGTCATTCCTGGGTTTTTCATGCGTTTTGCAATCCTCTGTTTTACACTTACATTCTTATCAAAATCCTACGTTTTTCCTATTCCTACGTTTTTCCAATCCTGCGATTCAAAGGGCCCTTAACCATAGTCAAAAGTTCTTTTTTCCAAGTTTGATCGTGTGTTTTATTTGAAATATTTGTTTGATTTGTATTTTTGTTATTATTAGATAATAAACCATGAATAGTATTTTATACCGAACGCAATTTGGAATTTTTGAACCCCTAAAATTTAAATTAAGGCCGAGTTTAGTTTGAAATTTTTTCTTCAAACTTTCAACTTTTTCATCACATTAAAATTTTTCAAATCTATTGCCCTTGACTATGGGAGCAGGTGTAGGCTTACTCTCATGCATACTGTATTTATTTAGAACTTTTTCCAGATACGCCTTTTGCGATAATTCTAAAACCCTTTTTTTCTATCCCGGTGAATCTCTATTCCTAGAACAAATGGGGCTTCACCAAGATCTTTCATATCGAAATTCGAGGACAAAACCTTTTTCGTCTCCAATAGTAAATCAACATCACTACTAGTGGCGAGTAGGATGTCATCTACATATAGGATTAGGAAAATAAATCTCCCATTTCTGAACTTCTCTTCATTCTCATTAAACCCAAACCTTCTTATTACTTCATCAAACTTTAAGTACCACTGTCTGGAGGCCTGTTTTAATCCATAAATGGATTTCTTTAGATGGCACCCCATTTGTTCTTTTCCTTCCACAACAAAACCCTTGGGTTGTGCCATGTAAACGTTATCATATAGATCCCCGTTAAGAAATGCCATCTTTATATCCATTCAATGTAGCTCTAGATCATAATGTGCAACAAGTGCCATTACGATCCTGAAGATATCTTTACATGGCACCAGAGAAAAGGTCTCATTATAATCGATTCCTTCTCTTTGAGTAAACCCTTTTGCCACAAGTCATGCTTTATATCTTTCTACATTCCCTTTGGAGTCACATTTTGTTTTGTAGACCCATTTGCAGCCTACTGTTTTGGCTCCTTTAGGAATTTCTTCTAAGTCCCAAACTTTGTTAGTACTCATTGATCTCATTTCATCTTTCATGGCTTCAAGCCACTTCGATGAATGAGCACTTCTCATGACTTCTTCAAAAGAGGTGGGATCTCCCTCTGTTTGAACTTCTTTACTAGCATAGACTTGGTAGTCACTAGTAATAGTTGTCCTTCTCTCTCTTTCAGATCTTCTGAGTTGTGGTACTTCATCTATTTGGGGCTGATGCTGCTCTTCCTCTTGTGTGACAACTTGTTCTGGAGGATCCTGAATCTCAGGTTCCTGCTCAGTTGTTGTTGTCACAGGAGAACTAAAATCAGGTGTTGTCACCGCAGCGTTTTGTACTGTCGGTGCAGCAGCAGCAGGTATCGAGAAAAAAAGGTTCTTGAATCATCGGAGTAGGTACACATACCCGCTTCTCTTCAAGACTAATTTCTCGGGGTACCATGCTCCCGCTGACTATGTCATCCTCCAGAAACACTGCGTGTCTCGTTTCTACAAACTTAGTGTGTCTGTCAGGACAGTAGAAATGAAAACCTTTCGATTTCTCAGGGTAGCCAATGAAATGGCAACTTACTGTCTTGGGATCTAGCTTCCCAATATTTGGGTTAAATAACTTTGCCTCAGCTGGACAGCCCCACACCCGTACATAATTTAGCGTGGGTTTCCTTCTTGTCTATAGCTCATACGGTGTTTTGAGCACCGCCTTACTTGGTACTCGATTAAGGATATGGGCAGCGGTTTGTAATGCCTCCATCCATAGACTTATCGGTAAAGTGGAGTGGCTTAGCATACTACGCACCATGTCCATTAGAGCACGGTTGCGTCTTTCTGCTACTCCGTTCTGCTGAGGCTCGCCAGGTGTGGAGTACTGGACTAGTATGCCATTTTCCTGTAGAAACCTTGCAAAAGGTCTAGGTATTTGGCCATAAGGGGTATGCCGACCGTAGTACTTTCCTCCACGGTCAGACCTTACTACTTTAATCTTTAGATCATGCTGATTTTCTACCTCAGCCTTAAATATCTTGAATTTATCCAATGCTTTTGATTGTTCTTTAATTGGATAAATATAGCCATAACGCGAATAATCATCTGTGAATGTTATAAATGAATCATAACCATCCACTGTCTTAATTGGAAAAGGGCCACAGATATCTGTGTGTATGATTTCCAATTTTTCTAAACTTCGTATGGCTCCTTTTTTTTATTTGTTTAACATACTTTCCATTAATGCAATCGATGCAATATTCTGTATCCGCAAAGTCTAATGGATGCAAAATTTCTTCTTTTATCAATCGTTCAATTCTCCCCCTCGAAATGTGGCCTAAACGGCAGTGCCACAATTTTGCCGAGGTTTCCTCATTGCACCTTTTGTGCTTACTTCTTACATTCGTAGATAAGAAAGACACACTATTGCACGCAACATTCTCTTCATTGCATACAACATTCGCATTCTCATGTTCAGACACCATGTAAAGTTGGCCTTCTCGGATGG